GCAGCGATGTGACCCAGGCCCCTGAGAGCAACGTCTACTTGGGCAATTATATCATTAACTGGTATGTGTTTAGGTGTGACTGCAAAGTTTAGACCTTTAGCTAAAACGGATTTCAGACCATCGGAAATAGAACTGTTACTGCGATTAATTACGACTTTATTAACGTCTAACTTTTTGGTGTGTGGGTCCGGTCTTTTGTTTAAGAGGAGGTTAAATTTGGAAATCAGGTTTTCCTTACATTTGGTCGACATCGTAGCAGCTGAAGAGGCAGTCATATAGTCTACATGTTCCCAATCCGATGTGGACATTATTGCCGTCAATGATAAGTGTGATTTGTAGAGTGTCTTGTCTAACTGATCTAGTTCTGTGCGTATAAGTCTGATTTTTTCTGAGATAAGAGCTAAGCTAGTTTTGAAAAGAATTCGTTTCGCATTAGAAGAAGTTACAGTAGCAGAGGTGAGTGTAAATGCGATTGGTATTACCCCAGAGTCGCGGCATCTCTTCAAAAAAAAAATAGATGGACTAGTCCTGGCAAACTGCCATCGTTGCGCGTGACGCAAACGTTATTTTTATATATATAAATAAATATGCCGTTTTCAAAATAAATTTATGCAAACCGACACACCTGATGATGACCGTTTGAGTTATGGTCGAAACGTCGTGAGAATTTTTTATTGTTTTATATATATTTTGTTATTTTGTTGTTTCTCTTCAACGTGACTTTACCGAAAAAACTAAGAATATGAATTACTGCAGTCACGAAAGCTTTAAATCAAAATTTAATCGCCTCTACGGGGAGGGTTTTCACATAACTTTAAGATCTTTCAACAAACTCCGGGATAAGAAAGCTCAGCTGATCGAGTCTCTCACCTTCCTGAAGAGATGCCGCGACTCTGGGGTAATACCAATCGCATTTACACTCACCTCTGCTACTGTAACTTCTTCTAATGCGAAACGAATTCTTTTCAAAACTAGCTTAGCTCTTATCTCAGAAAAAATCAGACTTATACGCACAGAACTAGATCAGTTAGACAAGACACTCTACAAATCACACTTATCATTGACGGCAATAATGTCCACATCGGATTGGGAACATGTAGACTATATGACTGCCTCTTCAGCTGCTACGATGTCGACCAAATGTAAGGAAAACCTGATTTCCAAATTTAACCTCCTCTTAAACAAAAGACCGGACCCACACACCAAAAAGTTAGACGTTAATAAAGTCGTAATTAATCGCAGTAACAGTTCTATTTCCGATGGTCTGAAATCCGTTTTAGCTAAAGGTCTAAACTTTGCAGTCACACCTAAACACATACCAGTTAATGATATAATTGCCCAAGTAGACGTTGCTCTCAGGGGCCTGGGTCACATCGCTGCAGACGTAGCAAGATCTGAAATCGCTGCAACCCTCAAAAACGCTAAGATGCCAGCTAGCAACCTCAGCAAAGATGAGCGTTTTGAATTATATAAATTAAAAAAGAGGAATGATATTGTAGTTCTCTCAGCTGACAAAGGCAATGCTACTGTTATCATGGATAAAATAGAATACAACAACAAAATTAAAGAATTACTCGACGATGGTAGTTATACAAAAATAAAAAGAGATCCCACCAACAGCCTCGTCACACAAACCAACAAAATAATTTCTGACTCAACCACATTAATTGATCAATCTAAACAGTTTTCGTTGAAACCTTCTGCTGCCAGGCCACCAAGATTATACGGCTTACCAAAAATACATAAAGTTGATACACCTCTTCGTCCCATAGTCTCTACTATCAGCTCCCCCACCTACAAACTAGCTCGTTTTTTGTCTGAAATCCTGCGTCCTTTCACTGGAAAGACCACCTCTGCGGTACAAAATTCTACTCACCTGGTATCAACAATCAAGGGTATTTCCCTGTCCCCAGACGACCTGCTTGTCAGTTTTGATGTAGTTTCCTTATTCACCAAGGTTCCTGTACCTGACACCATTGCAATCATTGAAGACTTGGTTCATCAAGGACTAAACACTGAGGTACCCCCCCTGGTGAGACACTGTTTAACCAATACATACTTCACTTGGAATGGAACTTTCTACAAACAAACTGAGGGCACCCCAATGGGCTCCCCCCTTTCTCCAGTTATAGCTAACATTTTCATGGAGAAATTTGAGACTGACGCCATCCAGACTGCCACTCTGCGCCCAACCTTATGGAAGAGGTACGTGGATGACACTTTTGTCATCTGGCCACATGGCCGGCCTGCTCTAGACAAATTCTTCGACCACATCAATTCCATACACCCAGCCGTCAGATTTACCATGGAAGTCGAAATAGATGGCAAGATACCTTTTTTGGATGTCCTAATTAAAAAGAGACCTGATGGTTCAATGAGCCACTCTGTCTACAGGAAAGCTACCCATACGGATGCTTATCTGAAACCGGATTCCCACCACCATCCATCACAGAAGAATTCTCTCATCAAGACTCTGTATCATAGAGCCCAATGCATATCCGACCAGGAACACATAAGCAGTGAACTCAAGCACGTACACCAAGCTCTTAGGGCTAATGGTTACTCCGACTATACAATCCGCAAAGCTATCACTCAAACCATGAAGAAGAACCCTCTTGAGGAGCCTTTCAAAACCATCACTTTACCCTACATTGCTGGGATCACAAAAAAGATCTCCAAAATCTTGAATAAACACAAGATCCAGGTCCGTTTCAACACATTACATAAAATCCGTGATCTGGTTCCGTCTGTAAAAGATGTGATTCCGGACATACAATACCCTGGTGTCTACAAACTAAGTTGCCTCTGTGGTAGTAGTTACATTGGAGAAACCAAACGCCATATCTCGGACCGCATTCGTGAACATAAAGCAGACCTTAAACACGGTAGGACCAACACCTCGGCCGTAGCAGATCATTGTTCTAATTCAGTAGGCTCACATGCCATTGACTTTTCCAAGACGGAGGTTCTTTGTAAGCCATCTGGCTTCCATGAGAGATTCGTTCATGAGGCTATCCACATATACAAACACAGAGACAATTTCAACCGAGAAGATGGATTCTATCTCAGCAATCATTGGAAAGATTTGATAAATCATTTCAGTTCTTGATTGATTGTTCACGCTTACAGTGCCTTTCAGACAGCTTACATAAAAACAAATTTCGTCTCCCCCCTCCTCTTTTCAAAAAAAAAATAGATGGACTAGTCCTGGCAAACTGCCATCGTTGCGCGTGACGCAAACGTTATTTTTATATATATAAATAAATATGCCGTTTTCAAAATAAATTTATGCAAACCGACACACCTGATGATGACCGTTTGAGTTATGGTCGAAACGTCGTGAGAATTTTTTATTGTTTTATATATATTTTGTTATTTTGTTGTTTCTCTTCAACGTGACTTTACCGAAAAAACTAAGAATATGAATTACTGCAGTCACGAAAGCTTTAAATCAAAATTTACCTTCAACTTGTTTGTAGAATGTTCCATTCGAGGTGAAATAAGTGTTGGTGAGGCAGTGTCTCACCAGGGCCAGTACATCAGCATTCAGTCCTTGTTGGACCAAATCTTCAATGATTGCAATGGTGTCAGGCACAGGAACTTCGGTAAACAAAGAGACTACATCGAAACTAAAGAGCAAATCACCTGTAGATAGTGAGATGTCCTTAATTAATGATACCAAGTGAGCTGAGTTGAGTACAGCTGAGGTGGTCTTACTAGTGAATGGTTGTAAGGTCTCAGACAGAAATCGGGCCAGTTTGCAGGTGGGTGAGTCAATGGTGGAGACGGTAGGACGAAGTGGTATGCCTTCTTCATGGATTTTTGGTAAGCCATACAATCTGGGTGGTCTTAGCAGCAGAGGGTTTTAAGGGAAACCGCTTGGTTGGTTCGAATAAAGATGTCGAATCAGTGATGATATTGTTAGTTTTCGTAACCAGGCGGTTGGTGGGATCTCTCTTGATTTTGGTATAGCTACCATCATTAAGTAGGTCCTGAATTTTGTTGTTGTATGTGGTTTTGTCCATGATAGTGGCATTGCCTTTAATTGAGAAAGCTCAAAGCGCTCATCCTTACTGATGTTGCTAATAGCGTTTTTGAGGATTGCAGCGATTTCCGATCTTGCCACGTCTGCAGGAATGTGTCCCAAACCCTTAAGGGCTACGTCGACCTGGGCAAGGATATCATCAACTGGGATGTGTTTAGAGGTTACTCAGAAATTCAACCCTTTGGCTAGAACCGATTTTAGGCTGTCGGAAATTGAACTGTTACTCTCATTAATAACAATCTTGTCAACGTCTAACTTTCTGACATGTGGATCTGGCTTTTTGGAAAGCAGGTTGAACTTGTAAATTAGGTTATCTTTGCATTTAGCTGACATTGCGGCGGCTGAAGAGGCTGTCCTGTTGTCTACATGTTCCCAATCAGATGTGGACATTTTTTCTGTCAATGTTAAGTGTGATTTCAAGAGAATGTTATCTAAATTGTCTAGTTCAAATCGGAGCAATCTTATTCTCTCTGAGATCAGGGGTAGGCTGGCCCTGAACAAGATCCGTTTAGCATTAGGAGAAGTGACAGTAGCAGATGTCAGTGTAAAGGCGATCGGTATTACCTTAGTGTCGCGGCATCTCTTCAGAAATGTGAGCGACTCGAAGTTTGTGAAAAGATCTAATAGTTCTGTGGAAACCCTCCCCGTAGAAGCGGTTAAATCTTGACTTAGAGCTTTCGTGACTTCTTACGCATTGCACGAAGCCAACCTTGCTGATTGGAGGTGCGGGAATAATTGCCATCGATTTCCTTTGGTACAGGCATAGAGTGTTGCTCCCCTCGCATGCGTGGAATTTCTCCGTGTGCTCCAGTTTCCTCCTATAGGAATGAACACAAAATTGGCTGAAAACATCTTCAAATAAATATCCCATGTAGCAAGAGCCTCCTGAAAGAGAGTCGTTGGACTCAGCATTGCATTGCTGAGTAAAAAAGTAACTTATTATTGTTCCTGGCAGTGTCCATGGTGCTGGGAGTGCCCACGGTGAAACGGAAGGTGCAGAGCTACCTTATCGACACGCTCAACTCGCTTATCCACGAGCTGTCGCCCACTGAGAAGGATGACTGCATCATCGTCGTGTTCATCGGGGAGGTGAGCAATGCCCCTTGGTGCTGCACTGTAAATACCCTGGAATTGCCGTCCTCTACTTATGGACTATGTTGCTTTCAAAGATCTTGAAAGTAGCTCTTTGATATCCACTTTGGTGGGCCCTTGTGGTTGTTACTGAGCTTGTTTTACCTTCAGTAACACCTTGGCCTTAAGAGGAATTAGATTAGATTGGTAAAAATAGAAAATAGGCAACATGGGCCTATTATTAAAGTGTGCAATGACGGAGGCCTATTGCCCAAAGTGTCGCCAGTTATATATTTGTCTTGACTTAAAGCTTTCGTGACTGCAGGAATTCATATTCTTTGGGTCTTTTGGTAAAGTCATGTAGATGGTTCAAAGAAAATAACAAAAAAAACTACGACGTTTCGATCACAACACAAGCGATCGTCATCAGGAGGAAAGTTGCTGAATGCAGACTGTTTTATAGGGTGTAGTCCTAGGGTCATAAACGAAGTGGGCGGGGTTAGTGATGTTAATGTGAGACATTAGCATGTTAATGTAAGACCGATCTTACATTAACATGCTGATTTCTCACATTAAGATCGATCTTACTCTGGTTCTTTCAGTAAAGTCACGTAGAAAGAAAATGAAATAAATAATAGAATACGACGTTTCGATTGCAACACAAGCAGCTGTCATCAGGTGTGAATGAATGAGAAAATAAAACTAGTAAACTTAGAAATGTAATGCAATGCAATACAGAGAGTCGGCTAACACAACAGTTAACACTTTACCTGGTTGATTACGTTCTTCCAAAGATTGCTAAATTTGAAGTTAAGTGTGAGAGAGAGACAAACACAGACACGGAGAGAGACACATACACAGAGAGAGATACACATGGGGGAGAGACACACAAGCAGAGAGAGACACACAGAGACACACACAGAGATACACAGAAAAACAACAGCTCTGTGGGGGGGAGGGGCAGATAAATTAGCATGTCAATGAGAGCGGCTGGAGGAGAGAAATTGGAACTTGACAAACCTGGTAAAATTTTAGAGTACGGCAGGGGGAGAGAAATTGGAAGTTTGAGAAAACAAACCTAGTAAACGTATAAATGTAATACAATTCAACACAGAGAGTCGATTAACACAACAGTTAACACTTTACCTGGTTGATTACATTCTTCCAAAGATTGCTAAATTTGAAGTTAAGTGTGAGTTGTGTGGAAATCCTCGCCGTAGAGGTGGTTCAAATTTGATTTGAAGCATTCGTGACTGCAAGATCGATCTTACATTCACATGCTAATTTCTCACATTAACATCATTAGCCCCGCCCACTTCGTTTATGACCCTAGGACTACACCCTATAAAACAGTCTGCATTCAGCAGCTTTCCTCCTCTTTCCTCCTGATGACGATCGCTTGTGTTGTAATCGAAACGTCATAGTTTTTTTGTTATTTTCTTTGAACCATTTACATGACTTTACCGAAAGACCCAAATAATATATATTTGTCCTTTTTAGGCCACAGTGTTAGTGATGGGGTTTTTTTATTGTGCTGTGTACCACTGCCAATGCAGCAGCAGGAACGTCTCACTCGCAAGAGTCTCAAGACTCTTTTCCAAGAGGGTCCTGCAATGTTTTTGCAGTATGTGGTGACTATTGCTATGTGTTTACCATTTAAATAATTTGGAGTGTAATTTTTTTTTATTTGGATGCCAGCACACAAGGAGTCACGGGATCTTTAACGTCTGCTGTGAGTGACGCAGACGGTGCAGAGTATTTCACGATTAATTCATCAGTTGATATTCTGAATGCTATTATTGTCCCCTACTGGCAGACTAATGCCCAATTGCAGGCACAAGGTGCCGAGTCATCTTGTGCCACACAGGGACAGCTGGCACTAGGGGTGCCCGTAGGATGTTTGAAATGAGACGCAATGCGAGGCACTTTGAGCTGCTGAGGCATTTAAGCGAGTGCCGATTGAATGTAAAAAAATAAGATTATTACGCACGGTGTATTTACCAAGGTGGCCTGCCTGATCCGCAATGTGAACCTCTGCGACAAGCAGTGAATGCGCCACCACTTGGCTGCGTCACCTCCCCAACATGGAGGGTTGTGCCACTGTGTGAGAGGTGTGAATGGGCATTCCTTGCAATTGTGCTGCTGTGTGACGGTCGCTTTCCTCTGCAGACCAACGTCCACCACGTGAGCGAGATCGTCGAGGAGCTCAAGACTGGGTGAGCTCTTGTGTTTATTTGATGTTTACTGTGGTCAGCTGATCTATGAAGACAAAGATCCTCCTGTATAGCCTACACAGGCTGTTGGGGAAAGTGCTGTTTGCAAGCACCTATCAAGGTCAGCATGGTGCACGTTTTAAAGAGTGGTGTGGCTGTCGCCATGCCCGGCCGCCTTTATTTCCCTAGTTTACACACAGCTACATGCGTGTGTTTAAGGCTGAGTCGACCTCAGGGAGGCCCAGAACCGCTACCTATGTTGATTGGTCGTGAACGGGAATCGAACTCGGCTCGCCGCATTCATGTGTGGCATGCGAACCACTGCATCACCGCTCTCCGTAACGGTGTATACGCGCACGCACGAACACGCACACACTGTGGTCTATATGGAGAGAGATGGTAACACGAGTTCCGCTCTGACCGCCACCACCGCTGCGTGCGATGTTCATTTCCGTGCTCGGCTGTCAGGTTTGCATACGAAATCAACTCGGGGCTCTTGGAGGTCGTGTCTCCGTCACCCAGCTACTACCCGGACCTCGGCAACCTGAGAGAGACCTTCGGCGACTCCCTGGAGAGAGTCAAGTATGACCCCGCGAGCACCAGCGCCCCGTGCTCACAGCCGACCGCATGGAGATTCACAATCGTTATTACACTGGTTCACCCAGGAAAGCCCCACCGAGTCTCATGACTCTTCTGCAGGAGAGTCCTGCCAAGATTTTGCAGTAGAGGGCGATGTGTGTTTTTCAGCATTTGGATGTTCTGCATCCATGCAGAACAGGGAGAGAACATACAAACATCACCCGCACACACACTCTCATTCACACTCAATTGGACGATCACAACTGCAGAATAAGGGGAGAACACGTCACAAAAAAAAGGCGCCCGAATCTGGGATTGAACCCAGGTCCTTCTTGCTGTGGGGCACAGGTGTTACCACTGTGCTACCATTGTTACTGTTTCCGTGAACTTCACTCGTTGATTCCTCCACCCATGTTGAGGATTCGGTCAACCAGTCTGCTTGATCTCATCTGCACTGTGTTCAGCCACCACACTACAGGTCCCAACAACTCATTAACCCACTCGCTCACCCACTCACTCACCCATTTACTCACCCACTCCACTCAGTCACACACCAACTCACCACACAGGTTACAACACTTCTCTATCTGTTTCTTCCCTCGCCTCGCTGTACGTTGGAATGCTCTACTCCCATTATCAACATCATCGTCTTTTTTCCCAAGTCTCATAACCGTGCCCGCACGGCAGTGAGTGCGTTATGCAACACAAGTGCCCTCCAAGTGCCAGCTGCTGCAGCTGCTGCCGTGAGCGGGGACTCTGATGAGAGTGGCCACTCAGTGCCCCGTGATGGGTGGGGCGGTGACGTAACCCAGCGGGTAGCATGATCGCCGCTTGTTTGCGGAGGTCCACAATTTGAGTCAGGCTGGCTGCCCTAGTTAATTCTGTGTTATGAAGTAACCATGAAATACTACGTACCCTCTGCTTTACAGTAGATTATAAAGTTACCATGACGTTATTTGAATGGAGCAGGCTATTGTTTGCCAGGGTCACGGTCCAAATTGGCCAAATATTGAAAATTACTCAATGGGGATTGCACATACCAAGGTCACCCCATACGATTAAACTACTGCAGGCTTTGTCTGTGAAGCACAGTGGTGCCTTCCTGCATGATGATAACTCTTTGCTATGAGAATGATAGTGGCCATGTCAGACGCTTTAAATAAACAGGTCCCTGCAGGGTGGGCTGGTAGGAACATTGGAATTTTGCGCAATTTTATTACACCCAACAGCACGAGATTTCACTTCGTTAAAGTATTTAAAGGGGACGGACGGACGGACACATTAATCTATTGCAGGCTGGTACACTCAGTTTACAACTTCGTTCCTACCAGTATAATCGTCATAGTTAATCCTGCGCAGTAGCGGATGCAGCAGCAGTTGCTGCTGCTTCACAGAGATGCACGGTGAGCACCGCACGCAGTGCCACACACGGGGAGCCTCTGTTACCGCTGGGGGCTGCGCTGGTGCATGCGGCCTGGAGTGCAGCGCCGTGCGGGCAGCAGGGGTTGGTAGATCACGCACCCGTGAGCGTCCACTTATGGCCAGGGTGCCATGGCAGTACAGCAAGTGGTTTAATTTACAGCTGTATTCCATCTGTACGGGGATTGAGTGCGACCCCCCACCTCGTACGAGTGTGTTTTCTCCAGTACTCCAGTTTCCTTCTACGCGCATAAACACTCGGTAATGGAGTTGACCAAACATCCCAATATAGGACCACAGAGCTAGGGCAATTGTTGGCTCCGGTTCTAGCTGCCTTCCCACTTATTCCATGGGATTCCCGCGCCTCTCTATCCTTCTCTCTGCCTGTGAAAGTCAATGGTCGCTGGGGACAGCGTTACCCTCAACGATTAAACTCGTTGTTCGGTGATTGTTCTGTGCCAGGCCGCACGATCACCCTCACGTGTGCGAGCTCAGCTGTTCGTCTCTGTGCTTGCCTGCAGATGGAGAACCAAGCAAAACCTGGACTACTGCTACCTGATGATGTACGCTCAGTCCCGTGGCCACTACTACCTGCAGGTACGCACCGCGGGGGATTGCGGCGTTTCGAGGAGAGGGATCGCCTACGTGCCGACGGCGCCGAGGAGCGGTTCGATGTTTGCTCGGTATTTTCAGCTCCTGTCAAAGCCACTCGATGGTCTCCAGCGCCGCCCAGAGCACACAACGTGCACAACGCACACAGACCCAGTGCAGCCCTGCCTCGCGAGAGCCCCGTCTCTCTCTGGTTCCCTGATTGTCTCTCCGTGTATGCGTTTTTTTTTATTCTCGGAGAGCAGCACCGCATCCCGCGGTGAGCACGTTGCAGCACAGCGCTAAACTCATACGGCGCAGCACAGCGCTACACTCATTCAGCACTCATCTGTGTTAGGTTATTAGTGGTTGATAGTGATCAACTGTTTCACTTCTTTCTTAATGTCTCTGTTAATTTAGATGTTTTAAGAAATAAATGGGACCCAGTGCCAGTCTGCTACTGCGCTCGGCCATGATCGGACTGCTCCCCTCCTGCACGCCTCTCTCCCTCCACTCACAAACCGCATTGTACCCATCTGAGCCCCATTTTAGCTCGGCCCTGCTAAGCTTGGCAGATCTGTCATGATCGGATGAGTTCAGGGCGATGTAGTCACTGTACGGTGCCTGCCATAGGAGCGTGGAATGTCCACCCCCAGTGGTGGTCATGAGTGCTGACCAATGCTCGCTTTGAGTGGCGAGACACCGCCATCAGGATTGTGTCCCAAGCAGTGCTGATGAAATTAATGAAAGCGAGTTGTGTTTAATGGAGCTGCTCTACTCCATGCCACGGCATCTTGGAGCGCTTCACACGCAATAAGCAATTTACATCATCACATCTTATCTCAACACATTTGATAGGACACCCTGAGTGGTAGCTTGTCCTTGCTCATTAGTCTGCCAGTAGTGGGCGATGATTGTGAACGTTATATGTAACTAGTGGTTGTTCGGGGGGCCCTGCGGCAACCCCTCACAACCATTTACGGCCTCTGGCCAGGAAAGTAAAAAAAAATGCACACGAACGACGCATTCACGCAAGCACCCGATGTTCCGTTTTTAAGTTTTAAAATGAAACATCTTTGAATTGTATTGTTTTGAATTAGATAATTGTATTTCTTCATTAAAAGCTTATGTCATTTTACATCTGGAAGACTTAATTGAAAACGACATTTCGTGTGAATTTTTTCTCGTCGTTAAATAGATGGCCTTGCTGGGGGTTCAGTTCGACGTGTGCTTTCACCTGTTTGGGATTGCGGGATCGAGATAAGGCGACATAGAGCTGGCCGTGCGAGAAGACCGCCGTCTGCAGATCGATTCCAACGTAATCGAACGTCTGTCCCTGCGCCTCCATCGTTCATGCAGGGGGGCGCGTAGGTTTGCAGCGCCCCCTGCATGAAAACGACGGAAAGTGCAGCGTTCATCACAGATAGATAAAGTTGTGCGGTTATATGAGTGTCCCAATTGATTCGCTATCGGGGAATTTGGCGAATGTGACAAAGTTAGATCGTGATGCTGGCACATGGTGAGCTACTCATGTTGCCTTGCTCTATCTACAGCTGGAGGATGACATCATGGCCCGGCCCAACTACTTCAGCCTCATTAAGAAGTTTGCTGAGCAGCAGTCACTGGAGGACTGGATGATCCTGGAGTTCTCCCAGCTGGGATTCATCGGTGAGAGTCGGTTATAATCTAGGGCTTTAGGCCACACCACACTCGGGCCGCATCACACCCAGGCCACACTACACTCGGACCACAGCAAACCCAAGCCACATCACACTTGAGCCACACCACACCCAGGCCACACCACACAGTAGGAAGTACAGGTGGTGCATTGTCAGGTCATCTCAAGTCATTCAACCTACAGCTTCTGGGTCTGTCCCGTGACCTCCTGCCTGCAATCCTTCCATACTTCACTCGATGGCCTCAAAGTGCACCTAGCCTGGCACATGATCCGCGGTGACATTCACTTCGTCACACGTTGCTTGTTTACCCTTAACTGTGTCTCCCCGCCCACGTGCCTCTCTCCCCCTTTCAGGGAAACTGTTCAAATCGTCGGACGTGAACATGCTGGTGGAGTTCATCCTGATGTTCTACAGGGACAAGCCCATCGACTGGCTACTCGACCACATCCTCTGGGTCAAGGTCTGCAATCCCGAGAAGGATGCGGTGAGTTGAGCACTGAAAAAATTAATCGGCAAAGCTGGTGCCGCCGAGTGAGAGGTCGCGCGTGTGCACGAGGAAGGCCCTCGGGGGGGGGGGGGGGGTGGGGGGGGGCGGCGCAGTGGGAACACTCGCGCCTCTCAGCAGCAAGGTCCTGGGTTAGATTTCTGATTTCACGTGCCCGTTTCTCCGCGAAGTTTTTACGTTTATCCCCTGTTCTGCAGAGTGCGAGTGTGTTTAGTGAGTTTCAATATGTGAAGTTTATATGTTCCATGTGCTGCAGAGTGTATGTGAGTGAATGACAGTGTAACAATGTGGGGGAGCGGTAGTGTAGAGGTTAGCGCGCTGCACTATGAACCTGCCCACTCAAGTTCGATTCTCGCTCACGGCCGACACCAGTGACGATTATCTGAACCAGTCCTGGGCCTCCCCTAGGTCGACTCAGCCTCAAATGAGTACCTGGTGTGGTGTGTAAACATTGCCATTTGAGAGACAAAGGCGGCCAGGCGTGGTACTATTTCGTTTGAGCAGGTGAGAACTCAAAACCGAACAAGGATTGAGTCTCACTCGCATGAGGGACTTGGTTCACCACATTGACAAAAGCAATCGTGTAAAAACAAGTACAGCAATGACGCAAATAGAACTCGGAGCAAAAACAATCACATATAAATCAGAGCAAACACAACTGCGTCACTTAACAATGTTTGACTCAATGCAGTGTCATTGTTGTAACACGCACTACCTAAGTATGACCACGTAGGGGCAGCAAGAGATCACCTGCAGGAATATCTCGTGGTCACTCGATCTGAGCTGGGTCTTCGTCCTTGAGCCCAGTGGCCCTAACCTGTCTTCTGGATGCCGCCCAGAGTGCCAATGCTTTCCTTGGAGGATTGTCTCTGTAGATCAAAAGTACGCGTGATAGCAAGGCCTCAATGAAAGCTCTCCACGAAAGTTCGGGGAGGTGTGCTGAGCTAGTAGTCCCATGTACTGGCTAATAGTCCCGTGTGTGGGGCTGGTGGTCGGGTGTGCTGGGCTGATGGACCCGTGTACTGGGCTGGTGGTCTCACACACTGGGCTGGTGGTCCCATGTACTGGGCTGGTGGTCTCACACACTGGGGACTGCTGGCGATGTGGCCGTGCTGCATTCCCTACAGAAACATTGCCAGCGGCAGAAGGGGAACCTGCGTCTGCGCTTCAAGCCGTCGCTGTTCCAGCACGTGGGCCACCACTCCTCGCTGGCCGGCAAGGTTCAAAAGCTCACAGTGAGTCTGCCAGCCTGCTCACCGGGAAAGCCACCAGAAAAAAACTCCATACGTTCATCAGAATCAGTGTGGCCTTAAAATATAAATAATAGGCCAGTATTCAAGCCCTTTTGTCAATCAACTGCTGGATGAAGGCCTCCCCACTTCATGGGATCATTTGACCATACTTCACCACGCTGGTCAGTGTGGGTTGTTAAAAGTGGGTAACATAGACGATGGAACAGAACGTAGCACAATGGATTCCGTCGCCGCCAACGCAGCCCCACAAATTCATCCGGCAGTGGGGTGAGTGGGCAATTGCGGGGCTTCACCTTTACCTTCGTTTATTGTGTCCTGGATTCCCATTGCAGGATCGTGACTTTGGGAAGCCTCAGCTGCACAAGTCGTACCCAAATCCGGGTGGGGAGGTGAGCACCAGCCTCAAGGTGTACCAGCACCACTCGCTCGACAAGGCCTACCAAGGCCTCGACTTCTTCTGGGCCCTCACACCCGTCGCCGGGGACTACATGCTCTTCAGGTTCAGCCAGCCCGAGAAGATCAGCAGGTGCTGCTGTCGGCCTGCGTCCTAATGGCCGTAACGATGCACCCCCCTCCCCCCCCAGTCTCAACATGTATGTAAGGGCACCCCCGTGGCAGCTGTCTCTGAGGGTATAAGGTTACTTAGCACCCTGACCTGCAATCAGACATTGGTCTGTTAATCTACCCACTTGTTTTCCTGCCAGACTTAGCCAGGCCAGAAAATAGCAACCTGCAGAGCTCTTGGATAGTTGTTGGTAGTGCGGGGTTCTTTCCGCATGGTTGCTGCTTTCCCGCTTGTCTGGTTCCTCCCCGGTGATCGTGAGAGTGGCGATTGCATGAACGACGATGACAACAACACTCTTGATAGAGCTGCACACTTATCAGAGACCCATAGACTCATAGAGTAATATAAATATCCATGGAAATCCCTAGACACTGGTAGAGACACATAGAGACCCACGTATAAAGACTCACTAATTGGGTAATAACATCTTAATATAAGATCACAGAGTTTGGCTGATTGTTGGTAGTGCTGGCTCACAGCATGGCTGGCTTAACGCTTGTTTGTGGTTCCTCAGCAATTTTGAGAAATTCGATTTTCAAGAATGATGGCATCACTCCGTACACAACTATACATGATGATTATTTTGATTGCATAATGATGCCACGGTTTGCTGTGGTGGTGAATGACGCAGAGCCACCGGGTGTCCCGTTGCCCCCCTGTGAGCAGGTATCTGTTCAGGAGTGGGAACATCGAGCACCCAGGAGACAAGCTCCACAACACCACGGTGGAGGTGCTGCTCGCCCAGGTGACCAGGCTGCCCTGCAACTGACACTCCCCAGACACACACACGCACATTCAATCATAATAAGATGACAATAACCTAGCAGACGCTATGCCTCCATCACATATCTGTCCCTCCACATGAAAAATATACTTTTTACACATCTCATCAGCCAAACACGACCCTCTGGGAGTGCACAATATCAGCTGTATTGAAACAACACAAGCAAACCTCTTGACTTAGTTTTGATACGAGCGGCTGACACGAGCGAGGGTGGTCGGATGGACTGTGATGACACAGGGAAAGGAGACCGGGCAGGAGGCATTGCAGGACATCAAGGACAAGATTCCTGGCCTTCAGTTCACAGATGATGGTTATTTGAGGATAGGTGAGTAGTGCACCTTTCCACATCTCAGATTATTTGAGGATAGGTGAGTAGTGCACCTTCCCACATCTCAGATTAGCATGGTTGGCTACATACAGTGCGAAGGAAGTTCAACATACATATGTGCAGCAGTTCATCTTGTGTGGCTTTGTATTATCCTCCCGCTCGTTTACCGAGGAAAGCGTCGCTGAGTCACACAAATATTTTCCAAGAGAGTCCTGCCAAGTTTTCTACAGTAGGGGCAATATTGCTCCTGTGTGTCATCCCAATTGAGTCATTTTCAGGCTATTTTTCAGTGTGCAACACATGCCATGTGTGTGGAAAGTGAACGTGCTGTATCGCAAGCACATTGCTTGCTCACTCCACTACTGGTGGAAGGGCCTCCACTGCAGTGAACTTTAGAGTGGTATGTGGCCTATTCTTCCACGTTGACATGTTGAAAGAGGTGGGCGAACCCACACTTTAACCCATCACGCACCCTGCCGAACATAGACTAACTGCAGCGTACCTATTTATACTCCTGGATAGACAGGTGACCTCTGGATTAAACATACAGTGTGCTGCTGATCATTACACTACCACATAGGTGGCAATTGTCTATGTTTGCTGAGAAAACCCCACCACTGAGCGTACGTAATGGGGTGGAGAGTGGCCACGGCGGTCTCTGGTGAGAAGCCACGCAGGGTGAGTGACCATGCTGCTCATGTCGGGGTGTGCAGGAGCATTTGTAAACGGCGTGGCCGAGGCGACGGTGGGCCCCGCACTGGGTCCCGTGCGAGCCGTGCGTCTCTGCATGCTATCCGACTCCCCCGTGTGGGTCATCCTCAGTGAGGTGGGTGTGTGCATACAAGACAAAAATCCCCTGTGGAGCCTACACAGGCTGTTGCGGCCAAGGGCTGTGAGCGAGCGGCAACTATCTGAAGACCAGCACGGTGCAAGAGGGGGTGGTGGCCAACATCAGGCCCGGCCGCATTTGTCTCCCACTGCACCGTGTACTTATTTAAGGCTGAGTCGACACAGGGGAGGCCCAGGATCAGTTCTAGACATTTGTCACTGATATTGGCCGCGTGTGTGAATAAAATTTGCATTGCCAGGTTTGTAGCGCAGCGTGCTTACCACTCCACTGCCGCTCCACGCACACGCATGCTTGGCAGGATGCATGTTGGTGCTGGAGTACGACCGTCCAATCAAGTGAACAACACAACACTGGATAATCACGAGCGACACCATGATGTCGGAGAACGTAGGTAACAAAATAAAAAAATGCAGACTCTTAATGTAAAAAATATACTTTTTTTATACATCCCGTAAGCCACAGGGCCTTCTGGAATTAATAATGTTGGAATCACGAACACTGCCAACCCTCACAGATGACCCTGCAGATCAACATTCACCAGAAACGTTTTTCCACTTTAAAACTCCCATAATGGTCCCGTGAAATGTTAATTAAAAACCGGTTAAGAAAAATCCTTAAGGATGAGCCGTAAGAAAGCCACAAAAATTAGTGACTTTATGGACCAATCTGAAGTTTAGCGGTGCAATCGGCAGTAAACAAATCTGGTGTCTGCACGGACTATGCAGAGCGCTCCCCACGGACCACAGTTGGACACCACGGGGCTACTACATCACACAACAGCAGCCATCGACATTTAGAAGGGAGAAAATCCCCCCTTGCTCCCCCACTCAAAGCACCTCTGTGCCTCACGCATTCTATATACGCACATGTGCGAACACACAGATAGCTCTTCTACACATGTGTCGCTTGTAATTTGCTCATAAAACGTGTTTGTGATAAATCCTCCCCACATCTCTATCCCTCCCCCTCGCCTTCCTACCTCCTCCTCGGGCCAGCGGTAACACGTTCACTGCTTGTTGCAGAGCTTCGTGGTTTGAATCTGACAGGCTGCCCTGGTTATGGCTGCAGTGCTGTCCTCTTCGCTCACAAGCGGACATTAAAGGTCCCGTGAGGTTATTCGAAACGAGAAGGCCGTTGTGTGCCGGCGTCATGGTCCAAATTTTACAAATTTGAAAATGAGACCGCAAATTTACTCAATTTGATTTACAAATAGCAACATCTGTGAAGACTTTGAGGCTCGGTGAGGATTTCCTGGACAAAGAAGCATATTAATCAGTTTAACACGTAGGCTTTTGCGACCAATAACATCCATAATACAGTTTTTTTTGGGTTAGATCGCGTAAATATAAATGTAGATTTGAAGCTTTCGTGACTGCAAGGATTCATACAAGTCATGTAGGTAAAATAAAATAAATGAGAACAACTGTGACTGTTCCACCTGAAGACGGAAGTTTGTGTTGCCTCCGAAACGTCGTGATTTAATTTAGTTCTCATTTATTTTATTTTTATTTTACTTACGTGACTTTGCCGAAAAAAACAAAGAGTATAAATGTGTAGTTAAACCCGCCACCACCCGGCAAAGTCAGATAGCTTTATCACGTAAACAAGCTCTCCAACACACCAGTGTACTGTACAAGTAACGAATAGGCATAGGAATAAAAATGTTACTAAAGATCGGAATTATGCAAGTCTCTTGCCGCGTGTAAAATGCTCCGAGTCGCCTCGGCGTGAGGAGGATAGCTCCGTCAAACACCGCTCGCTGCAATAATGACACGCCCTGTCTGTGCCCACCCACTGTGCTCCCACAGATACAGATTGAGAGGCGGATGACGGGGGGTGGGGTGTGAGCCGTGCAGAGGGAGACGGGTTCGATGCCAAAGAAAAGCTGCGACTTGGACAGTCTACGGCAGTTCTGCCCTTCGACCATCGCCAGGGCGGACCCCTTGTGCCACCCGCCCCGGCGCGCCTCACAGATGTATATTTTATTGTGTCGATTACCGTGGGTGGTTTGGGTGGTGGGTAACATTATTTATTTAACAAATGAGACCGAATTTACCACCAATCGCATTCTCAGGCTAGATTATGATTTAGGGTCATGCTTTGTCTTGTTGGGATGACATGTCGCGTTCCTGGGGTCGTATGTCGCGTTCCTGGTGTCCATGTCGTGTTCCTGGGATCCACGTCGTGTTCCTGGGGTCACATGGCATGTGACTGGGAGTTGCGTGCCTACATTGCACAAGTTGCAAGGCCTACCCCAGGCCAGCCTTTGTCTGCCGCCTGCCCTTCTCACCAGAGCTGTGTGATTTGCTATCTAAACTAGAGTTGTTAAACAATAACCGGTAACCGCTATCAGAACCGGTTGCCAGTTCCGGAACTGGTAATATATTGCAGTGGAACGTTTGTGATGAACACACGGATAGGCTCGCGTGAGCATAAAAACAGCATGGCGCAGGCCCAAGTCACCGCGTGATTCATGTGTTCTCGATTCTCAGTTAAAGATGCAGCCCTGCAATTGCTTACTCAAGCCACTGGTGGCAGAATGGCCTTCACGAGAGAGCTCTGTAGAGGGCATTTGGTCTAACTTGCGCCATTGTTTCAATTGCCATGCCCGGAGATGGAATCGAATCGGCGATCTCTGCATGGTGAGCCCAGTGCGCTGCTCGCCATTACTCCGCTTTGGCAGCTGCACTTGTCTCGGATAAAATTATGGAACTCTCCCGTTTGTATCTCTAGACGTTTCTGTCCATGTGGCAAACTGGTAAATAACCGGTTTTTATATTTCATGTGGTTACCTATTATGCGGAAAACCCGATTTTAACTGCGCTCGTGCGAGAGTGCTCCATGAGTATGCCGTTCCTGTGCGATGCAGTCGCTGGATTTATGCAACAAAGATTGCGGCCGCGACGCCGCTGCTGCTGCCTCTGCCGATCGTGGGTTTTGTACCGAATAATGTCGACTCTCTCTGTAGGGACGGAGCGTTTGTACCGTTTCACTTTTAATAACAAGACGTGTGCAATTTTAAAACTCCGCACGTGGACGTGTGATAGTGTTTAATTAAATTGCCAACATTTCAAGAAGTAAATATGTGTAAAGAATTTGACGGCAAAATATTAGTTTTTGTGTCCCAGCGCCACTGCCAAGGACCGTTGCGCGTGCTCTCACAGCGATGTTTTATTAAACATGGAGAGTTTGAAGCGAGTCGTATTTTGTGACTGAGTTGGTGCCCGTGGCGTGGTTTGACCTCGCTGGTAATATTCCGAGTGTGAATAACTCGCGTTGAAACCACAGCTTCATTCCCTACTCGATGTGTTATTGGTAGATCGCAGTAGGTGGTACGTGACCATAGCGATACATATACTGGATGTGGTGTGCTGGGTGCAGAATTTTCTGGGTTCCTGAATCGGCTGAAATGAAACCCTGGATGTTGTGGAGATGACCTACTGCGTCGCACATTCACTTGAAGACAATGCAGAGGATGAAAATGGATCTCGCGTTTGTTGGGTTATGGAATCCAGGTTTAGATTATGAAGCCGTGCTCAATGGGAATTTATCTGAACTGCATCTCAAAAGTACTGTCGTTTTAAGTTGATTAATTTAATCAGGGTAGAACTCAATAGGAAGTATGAGTCATTTGCAATCTTGACAAAGGCAATCATATAGAATAGTTCCATAGTTCACTTATTTGGTATAGCCCTGTGAGCCATTCGGCTCTTGAATCGGGTGCAACCGCAACAAACAAAAACATGAACAAGAAACCATCTTTAAGTGATTGTGACTGTGCAAACAGAAAATCCAGGAAAAAAACATCAAAATATTCCTGAAATAGCACCGTACACCAACGCTGTGTGCAAAAATCCCAGTGGGATGCAAGTCAAATAACAACAACCACAAGACAAATAAGATTAAGGCCATCAGTCTAACTCCGTACTACAATAAACAAAAACATGGCCAAAACAAAAAAAACTTTTCGAAATCACCAAAATAAAAGCCATAAATGCAATGTAACAGTGATCATAGGGGCTGTGACTGAATTTTTTTTTACAATAAACTACATAAATAAATTATAACACCAAAATCTAGAGCCATATTTTAGGCCAGTGAATAGCAGTGGCAGCTAGGGGTGTACAACTCCTCTAGAGCAGTTTTGAGTGAAGATCTCATAGGTAGTGATTCAAGTTGCAGTTTATTAGCAATAGCATTCCAGACCGTGGGGGCATCAATAGCAAAGGCCCTTGCTCCGGTTTTTGTATGGCAATAGGGAATGTGAAGCTGGTAAATGAGCGAAGACCTGAGGTCAAATTTGTTCTTTGAAACAGAGAGGAGATCCAGTAGGTAGTCTGCGCATTTTTTTGTAAGTACATCGTGAATAAATAAGATCTGGTGCACAAGCCGTCGAACATTAAGAGATGTTAAGTTTGACCCAATGTAGAGATCACAGTGGTGAGTCCTATATGGGCAGTTCAATGCAAATGTTAAGGCCGATAGATGGAATCAAGCTTCTTCAGTACAGTACTTGGGGCTGATTTATACACGATGTCACAGTAGTCAAGTAGAGGCAGTATGGTAGCTTTTATCAAATCCAAACGGAACATTGGGGGGAAGCAGTGCTTGTGTCGATACAGAAAACCAATTTTTATTTTTGTCTTTTTACCAATATAATCAATGTGAAGTTTTGAATCCAGGATGATCCCAAGATACTTACAGATCTTGACTTGCTCTATTTGATAATTATTCAAGGAATGTAATTGGGGAAAAATATCTTCCCGCTTTAGTCCCGGTGAGAAGCATAGCACCTTGGTTTTGGAGGTATTCAGGACTAGTTTAAGAGAAACTAGCTGATGTTGTAGTTTGTTGAAATCACCCTGGAGCTTAGCAATCACGTCATCCGGAGAGCGGCCAGCAGTAATCAGAAACTTAAGTACTGTACAATGAAGCATATAAATCAAAGAAAAAACAATCACGCTACAGAAGAAAATCAAAAGCAGTGCACAGGTCAATTTTAAATAACATTCCAGTGATAAGTTTAGTTCAGTACAGATGCTTACATTCCTTTACACTTATAAACACTAGTTCATTGCATGAAAACATCTGATTATAAACAAGGAAAGACCCTCCTGAAAAATAGTTCAGACTACGTGAGGCTTTCCTGGGTTAGAGCATAATGACTAAATATATTTGGGGTAATTAAATTACCAATATCGGCACTCACTTGAGTCACCCGTAGTCACTCATACACCTCCACTAGAGACATTGTCCCGAGTGTGTTATTACAGTTATACGTGAGAATGCCATCAACCGCCTTGGTCAATCCACTACTGGATGGAGGCCTCCGAGCCATTTCCACCTCTCAAAATCTTGCGATGCAACAATCCGCCCAGCACCTGCACCAACCGATGTCATCGCCACTCCATTTCCCCAGTTGACGTGCCGCCAAACTGTGCTGACCGGTGTGATGAAGCATGGTCACCCCCCCCCCCACCTGATCACACTTGGAAGCACCTCCTCACCTGACTCCACCTCCTCACCTGGGCCCCGATGCTTTCCTGGAAAAGGGAGGTGAGGTGTAAGGGGCCGTCCATAAATGACGTCACGCACGTGGGGGGGGGGGGGTGAGAAATGTGACGTCACATCAAAATGAGCAACTTTAAATATAAACAACACGTTCTACTTAATTAAATGGAATTGCTATAACACTAATTTTGATAAATTTTCATTATTAACTATTTGATTATTTAAATTTACTAAGGTCACGTTTTCTTTTTTCCATGAAGGAGCATTTAGTTAGATGATGAATATTTTCAAGTTACTTTTATGCTAAATTTCAGCTTTCCAACGTCTTTTTAATACGTGTTTTCGCCTACAACATCAGAGCGCAGGGCCACATTAAATACGCACTACAATGATGATAGTTTAAAGCGATTCGAAGCATGTTTTATTTTCAAAATGGAAATATGGTTTGGGGGGGGGGGCAGAGCTTTGTGACGTCATATTTGAGGGGGGTCTGACTTTTTGTGACGCCGTGTGACGAGGGGGGGGGGTCAAAAATCGTCCAAAATCGCGTGACGTTATTTATGGATCGCCCCTAAGGGGATGTGATATGTTGGCAACAATCGCACGTGGACCTTGCACGCTTCTGTCTCTCGGCCCAGTAACCCCCTCCCCCGACTGCAGCTGTAGAGCGCCTCTAGCGGCCGTGCTGGAGGGCCACGCTTCACGCCGACTTTGTGTCGCGAGAGGGCCCTGGGAGAGAGGGAGAGGAGGCCGGCGAGAGAGAAAAGAGAGCAGAGGAGGAGGAAGCGTGACGCAGGACCATGGTGGTTACGGTGGACATTAGGCGAACCTACAAGTACCCCTTCGAAAAGGTCGTGGATGTTTATCTCAACAAGGTGCGTGGGGTGGGGGGAGTGAATAGGAGGCCCTGGCCCCTCGTGCTATCCCCGACGGGTTCCGGGGTCCCTGCAGCAGGGTCCCGGGACTTTGGGTTCCCCTTGGGCCCGGGACCGCAGGGGGGGATCGCGGCCTGTGCTGCCTCCATCTCTAAACTTTCGGAGGAACGACACTCTCTACTCGTGCTCCTCGCAGAGAGACTCCCCGCGTCTCCCCGCCGAGACGCGGCTGCGGAGACCCTCGGCCGAGAAAGACTCCGCGCCTCTGGGCGCCGGGGCCATCCTTGGCCGCGCCGGGCAGAGACGCGGAGCTCGGCAGAGGGCGCAGTGAGACGGCGCGGGGAACGGGGTGGGAGAAGAGGGGAGACGGAGAGGAGAAGAGGGGGTATTTAGACAATGGGAGAGAGCAAACACGGGGAGGCATGGGAGGAGGAATGGTGAAGAATGAGGAAGTGGGAGACGCGGGGAGACGAGGTCACGTGTGTGACCATTCCCCCCACGCCGCTCTCTGCAGGTTGCTTCACGAACCCACAGCAGGCACATGCATGGGAGGAGGGTGGAACACTCAAGAGCTCCACACAGATGGAAATGGATTAAAACCAAATACTGCTGCACTGCTGCCACGCAGCACAAGGCCGCAACATCTGCTATTGGCAGCCATCAATCCTGCTTTCGACTGAGACTGGTGTACGACAGTGACATTGTGTCTCCGTACTTGATACGTGTTGCCAAGAAAGCGGTGGCGATTCATAATGTCCGTGCCTAGGCTGTAAGGGCCTTGCAAGAACGCAGGGGAGGCCAGTGGCCATTTCCTTCCCACGTCCAGCACACCACATCCTCCTGTATTGCTCTCGCTGGCTGCGAGTCCGTGAGAGCTGCAGGCTGCATGCACAGTTCCATGGAAACGTGGCAATTGGTCCACTTTCTGTACTGCCTTCTGGCGAGCCAGGGTATATGGCTCCTCGTCACTCACGGGTTTACAGGCGTGCAACACCGGTATTGACCTTAAACCGATGCTGGTGAAATGACAGCATCGACACGCGTCCCATGAACGTCTAGCATGTCCCCTCTGATGGCCCTGACTTCCCCGTGCTCTTGTTCACAGTACCCGACCCCCAAGGAGAAGATGGTCATCGGCATCAAGACGGTGGAGGAGCGCCAAGGTGAGCCGAGCTCCTGCCACGTGGAAAAGAAAGATGCCCTGTGTAGCATCAGTGATGCAGAGTTAGACAAACGGTGGACCGGATTTGTCATCGGCACGCTATAGTCACCAACGCTCGGTGCTGCAAGGTGTGTCTTTGGGAACCGTGTTGTGCGGAGTGCCCAAGTCCACCCTATGGGGCCCATGAGCTCGCTCGCGTGAACGGCGAGGGCGCACCATCGCGAGAGAATGGCGCAGATTCACAGCGCACTGCGGGATGCAGCGGCGGCACCGCGAGAGTCAACCCCGCCCCGCCCTCTCTCCGTCTCCGCCGCCGCCGCCGGCGAGCTCCGCGTGCGCCTGATGCGAGTGGACATGCTCCGCCGGCCTTCTCGCCCCTGTTGGGCAGCACCGGCACTGCCACGCAGGGGGGCCCTGACGCCTGTCAGCCGCGCTTAACGCAGCGTTGGGGGTGGTGATTGGCCTGCTGCTGCTGCGAGGGGCACGATGTTTCACTGTTTCAATCCGCGCGGCCACCCAGGTTAACGCTACTGTGCGTGTTAGTCGTAAAATACTCCGCTACACGCGGTCGGTTTCACTCACGGTTCCCGTTGGGTATCACGTGATGCAATTTGAAGATGAGTAGGCTACTGTGAGCCAGATGTCTGGGGAGGCTGGTGGGACTGGTGGACTGGGAGGCGAGGGTTTGGCAACACGTGGACCGGCCGGCTAGCCACCAGAGGGCCTGACTCTCGCAGGCCCTCAATGCGAGCCCGGCTCGCACGAGGGCCCCACCGCCCCACCCCCCCGGCTTGCCGTCCCTCGGCTGGTTGCTAGGCGACCGTCAGAAAAGATTTGAAGTGGTAATGACCGTGATGAATCCACGGATAAACATTTTAATTTCGTTGCGAATGGCATGGCTGAATGCATACGCACACTGTGTATGAAAGAGTGTCTGTGTGTGTTAGGGGAGCAGAAGTGGAGCGGTTAGTGTACTGCGCTACGAACCCGGCGACCCGAGTTCGATTCCCGCTCACGGCTAATATCACTGACGATTTTCTGAAACGGTCCTGGGCCCCCCCTAAGTCGACCCAGCCTCAAATGAGTACCTGATGCGATGTGTAAACATCGCCATTCGGGAGACAAAGGTGGCCGGGCTTAGTGCTGGCCACCCACCCCCTCGTGTGCCGTACTGGCCTTCATAGGTGTTCGCTTACAGCACTTGCCCCAAAAATATGTTAAGTCTTTCTGGGCGATCTTTGTCTTTGTGTGTATGTGAGTGTATCTTTGTGTGTAATGCAAGCGACCCAGTGACCCCATCATGTCGCTGTGGGAAGAGGAGCGCATCATTTGCTGATCTGTTTTGTTATTTGCATTCCCCCCCCCCCCAACGCCGCTCGTGATTATTCTGTGTCTTGTATAATTTTGCATCAAACTTGGGCCCCCCTCTAATAGAGGGGGTCTTGCCTATAACACATCTTGCAGCTCACCAGCATTCATTCACGCGAGCCTGACTCTGTTGATGAAACCGGTCCAGGGTTTTGCTCCTATTGAACCAAATGCTGCTGAAGAAATTCACTCCCGTCAGGTGGCCCATGCGGCCAATTGGGCAGGGTCCTCGCCAGGTTGAGGCGAGGGGCATGGCCGTGGGTGGCAGGGTGGCACCTGGCAGTGCCACGGTCCCCGCTGCCTGGGAGTGATTGAGAGCCACGTGTGCCTTTGTCAGGTGTTAATCCGTGCCTGACAGATGGCTCCTGCGGGCACTGCCAATGTCCGTGCCAGACGAGCAGCTGTGAGCGGCGCGGCTGCACCTGTGGCCCGCACCCTAGTCTCCGTAATCACAACATCCGTGACTCGATTGTCCTGAATTTTGCCGTCTTGAATGTCGAGCAATGGCTCAATGAGTCAGCGAGTTCCGCTGCTCACCTGAGTCATATTTCTGCATCGGTGCTCATCTCCTGCTGACATCCCTGCAGAGTCAGTGGTGAAAAGTACGCATTCCTGTAATGGGGGCGAATCTATCCATAGAACAACCGCTGTTAATTTCTCCACAACTGGGTCCCAATTTTATCGAACCCAGAGGAACAATGGGCCGAGTCAACCCCCCGCCAGGATTTTAAGTGGTAACCTTTCGATTGCGAGCCGCTTGCACCACCGGTGAGCCCCGGCCATAGCACCGATCACTGCTACTGCTGCTGCACAGAGAACACTGTTGACTGAAGCTGGAACCCTGCTCCTGGCACATCTAGGGTGCAGCACCCATTTGCCACCTCATGCACCTGGTAGTGAATAAGCAGTCAGGGCGAGTTATGATCCAGCACTCCTAATTACGTTCACTCCCTCACGAGTTGTCACTCACCTCCTTATCTCTCTTCTATCGCTAATACTACCATGGTTACTGTTCCCGTGAACTTCACGCTGCAACTTTTCACCGGGGCGGTGATGCCACCCAGCGGTCGCACGCTTCCCATGCATTGCAGAGGTTCACGGTTTTAATGGGGCAGGCCGCCCTGGTTAATACTGCGGTGAGTGTATTAACTGAAACACTACTACCATGCCGTCTGCTCCGCTCACAGTGGTGGATGCTTCAAGATTTCGGGACGGTTTTCTAAAAAAATCGGCCGTTATGAGCCGGCATCACGATCCAAATTGTTTAAATTACGAGTGACACAATTAAGATCACAGACAGCAGCAGCAACACCACCCCCCTGCTGTGACACCACCGCAGGCTGTGCCTGTGAGACAGCGGCGCCTCCTTGTGACAATTGCTCAAGATTATTTTGCAGGAGGGCTTTGCCAAGGGAGTGATGTTACTGCCATGTGTGGCCAATACCATTTCTACGGTGTGTGTGGTTGTTTAGCTATGGGAGGAAACAAGGGATCCCAGATGAATCCCATGCAGAACAGTGGGAAAACATTCAAACTCCGCTCACATACACACTCTCGCACTACACCAAAGGAGCAAAACATACAAAATCTCCACAGAAAGGAGACCAAGCCGGGAATCAAACTCAGGGGCTTCTTGCTTGAGGCCACGAGTGTTACGACTGTGCTGCCGCTCATCAGATCAGTGGCAGCTGTGATGGCGCCACGTACCGTGTGCCTTCTCATCGTCCAGGCAGGATTCCCCTGAATGCACCCGCTCCCTCAATCCCCGTTCCTCACTGCCAGGTTCCCTCCCGCTCCTTGCTCACCGCTCCCCACTTCCGGGCTCCCCCGTCCCCCACTCCCCGGTCCCTGTGGGCCCCTGTGCTGCTGCGGTATTTTTAGGCCTCGTGAGCTCGCGAGGGCCCTGGAGCCGCGTGTGATCGACCGCGCGCCGCGTTGCTCGGCAGCGCCGGTGCCGACAAGCGTGAATGCTGCGCTTATTGATCCCACGCGTCGTGCTGATGAGGCCCTCCCTAGATGCGGGGTTCGCCACCAGCGCCCAGCCGGCGCTGGTGATCTGCGTGGCATGAGTGCTGCACGCCGGCCGTGTTGACTGGCGTCTCACCCACCACGCTTTGTTCAAACACCACCACCACACTGCGGGTCACTACAACACAGTAGTACCTGAACTATCTGTACGGCCAGTGGGAGTGAATTATCCGATAACTCGCTCATGACAAACGGCTATCACTCAACTCATTCATATGTGTGGCCACACATGAATGGGGATCGCGACACCTCGGGTAGTAACAACGAGTCACGGTGCATGGAGAGACCCTGCTTGCTCACCGAGGAGGCCGCGACGTCGAGTGATGTTCCTCGTGCGACGCTCATGTGGAGCGGACGAAGCAATGTCGTGGCCCTGTCGATGAGACGCTGAATGTCGAAACCGGTCCATCGTTTGTGTTTAACTGGCACCGCTGGGCCGAGCAGAAAGGTGCATGTGGAGTGATAGATATGGGACGAGGTGACAAGCGTTCCGCTGTATTTGTTCTTCACAGCGACGCACGCGAGCGTTTGGTGTTGAGCGACAACGAAGATGGTTCTCTTTCATAGTTTCGTTCTGTTTGTGCACTGGTTTTGATTTCTTTCATAACAAGGTTGCTTTCGCTGTGGTTTCTCATTGCTTCATTTCTGTCGTTGTTCCTCCGCCATTGCTTGAGTCGTTGTGGTGAGCCAGGTCCCTCCTGCGAGTGATCCTCGCCCTGCTCTCTCGAGTTCTCAGTTGGTTCAGCAAAACAAACTATTAGACACACAGCACACGCGTGACGACGACACAGGGACACACAATTTACATGTAATCACCATAGAGTTTGCGCAGTGGATATCAAAGACAAAGATCCCTCGTATAGCCTTAACAGACTGTAGGGACAATTGCTGTAAGTGAGCACCTATGAAGGCCGGAATGACCAGCACCACGCCTGGCGGCCTTTGTCTCCCTAGTGGCGATATTTACATACCGCACTAGGTACTTAAAGCTGAGTTGACCTACACACTCACACACACACGTACCCGGGCAGTGTTCTGATTTGCCATACGTTTCCCAGCAGATGGCTTGACCGGGGTCATTTACCGGCGCAAGATCGCCACCTGTGCCAACGTGCTGCCCCGGTTTCTGCGGCAGGTGAGGGTTTCGTGCGAGCTCAACACTGCTTCACGGCTCATCACAACGTCTTTACACGTGTGTCGTGCCTTCACTCACTGATTCGTCTCATCCACCACGCTGTCGAATCACCACACTGCAGGTCATAACAACACACCCACTCACCACACTGTAGGTCACCTCACTTCTCGCTCTGCTTTTTCCCTGGCACTGCTCCACTTTGGATTTCCCTCACCCATCAATGTCTCTTTTTCCCCCCAAGCTCTTACAAAGATAACACCCTATCCAAATTCAAACAATGCGCTCCACTTATCATTATCCTGTGTGATGCTGGTGCTCTTTGTTGCTGGCCACTTGACGTTTCGGGCCTTTGAGCCGACTGCTCTACCACTGTGATAAAAAAAACGCAAACCGTTTGACTTTCCCAGAAGCGCAAACATCAGCGATCGATGCCCGCGGCGATTCTTCGGCTGGGGTCTTGACCCCTTGTGCGTGGAGGGAAAGAGGCTTCCTGGGGCTGTCAGCGCTGCGGTGTTTTTTACTCGGTCGTTGAGCACGCAGTAGGACCAAATGCCCAAAACGTCAAGCGGCCAGCGACAAACGGCACCGTCCAAGCTAGCACTGGCGGCGGTGACGGTGCTGCCGTTCGCGCGCCGCTCTCCGAGTGCTGTTGGTGGGCAGTGGCCGTGGGCGCTCGGTGCATGGCGATGAAACCCGAGAGAGGGGGCGCGCGCCCAACCTGGAGGCTCTTGCGCCAGGATATAACAAACTTAGTTTTAAAAAAGTTTAACTTGCAGGATAATTCACCTGGATATACCCTTGGGACAGAACATCGCGGTGTCCCAGGGGGTCCCACACAGAGAGAGCGGTGGGCTTGTGGGAGGAAACTGGCGTGCCCGGAGAAAACTATCCCCCACCCTGGCTTAATACTATTCACACCCAGAATGTGTTTCCCCACCACATCCAGGATACCTCTTGCTATCTCTGTGGCTACTAGTGAGATGCCACCTACACCAGACTGCCACCCCCACCACCTGTGCATTCAAAGTTTTGCATGAATGGGTTCACGAACCCATTTTTTGTACTGCCATCTCCTGGCCACCTCGCAGCCCAGTGTGGATTCGGAGTTTCTCAGATCTCTACATTGTCCACCAACCCTCGCGGCCTCCACAGTGTTTGTGTGTTTGGCGTCGCGCTTTGACATGCGTCTGGAGAATGGCGCCAGCGACGGTTGCACACACGCACACACAGTACACATGCAGACAATGGTTGCAACAGACTTAAGGCCCCGATCATTACCCCGCCATCACGCACATCGATTTCTTTAAAGCCTCCGTCTGTATCGACCTGTGGATTGTGGGGGTGGGGGGAGCTCTGGGTTCACCCACTTCTCCACTTCCCCCTCGTCTCAGGCTGCAGGAGGGGATGACTCCTCCTCCCCCCTGGAAGGAGAGATGCGTGTGTGCGCTGTGTGTGCATACATATGCACATGTACACACTAGCACTGCACTGACCTGCACTCAAACATACCGATGCACGCATGCAATATAAATACGGACACACCCACACGGCCCAACCCTTAATGACTTGCACAAAGACAGCTCCTCGCTATCGCCTTAACGGCCTGTTGGAGCCACTGCTGTTAGCGAGCACCTATCCAGGCTGGCACGGCACACGAGGGGGTGGGTGGCCCGCACCATGCCTGGCTGGCTTTATCTCCCCAGTAAATATGTTTACACATTGCACCAGGTACTCATTTGAGGCCGAGTCGACTTCGGGGAGGCCCAGGACGGGTTCAGATAATATAATCACCACCGTTGTTGGCTGTGACCGGGAATCGATCTCGGGTCGCCGGGTTCGTAGTGCAACATGTTAACTGCTACACTACCGCTCCCCACACCGACACACTGACACACATACATACACACACATACATACACACATACATACACACACGAGCAGTAACACACTTCCAATCTGCCCCAGCCCTTAGTGATGCACATGCACGCACGCGTGCCAGAATCAAATTCAGCAGTTTGTGTAAATTATGCTAACCCCAGCACACCAGTAGGATTGCGCGATGCAAGCTGCGAACACACAGATGTGACGAGGTTTTGGTGAGTGATTGAATGGATGAGGGTGTAGGTGGGTGAGTGTGTTTGTATGTATATATGTATGTTGAACTTCTTTCGCACCGTACGTAGCCAACCGTGCTAATTGAAGGTGTTGGTGATTGAGTGGGTGAGTGACTGAGTGAAAGAGCGGGTGGGTGAGTTGGTGAGTGGGCTAGTGAGTGAGTGGATGGGTACGTGAGTGGATATAACATAATGCAAAGCTATGCCACTCACAAACGGTAGGTGGGCACTACTCCCTTCATGTCTTGGATGTGACCAGCACATTGCATGTACAATGCTCTTAGCCTTGTCGAGACCACCAACTCAAGAAGATGAACATGGCTGTATCATTGTTTAGTTGATCGGCAGGTCGCATGTGGTGGGGTAAAGTATGGGTACACCCACCTCTTCAAAAACATCTGGTCGGTATCGAAGCCGAGATAAAATACCCTGTGGAGCTCCCAATAGTGGAGGCCCTTTCACCAGCAGGGGCGTGAGTGAGCATTTGCTGCACTTCGCCTTTACCTTGTAAATGAAAAACGAGGGCACATTAACCACGCGGTGACTGAGGCCAACGTTGTGAGGTTTGTACTTTCTCGCGAGCAAATTCATGCGTTCGTCATTCACATGCCACTGGAATCTTTTCCTGGTTATTAACTTTCGGAACCGGTAACTCGTTACAATGCCGGTTACTGGTTAAGAACACTAGTTCCTGATTCATGATTGCCGTTTGGGTTCTGCCACATAGTGACCTGACCAAATCTGTACCACGAGGAACCCTCCACAACCAGACACGGCTACACATTATCTCGTGGTGTGCCCACGACGGCTCGCGGTGGCCCACGTTAAAACTGTTTTTGTGTTTCGTTTGTTCATCCCCCCGCACCTCCGATTAGCTCACTTTGCTATGTACGGTGCCAAAGAAGTTCAACATACGTACATACACAGGCGGTGGCCCACGGTGGCCACTGGTAGGACGTGTGGGCGGTGCGTGGTAGCTGCGTTAGCCGCTCGCATAGCGCGCGCCTCGCAGGCCGAAGTGGGACGCGCCCCTATTATGCACGCGGCAGCAGCATTAAATATTCAGCATTTCTATCGGTGCCTTCCGCCACACACATTGGTCGGTTAACTCATAACACCTTGCTCTGTCCCATGATCTCCTGCCAGCAGTGAGCTTTCCACACTTCACCCGATTTACTAAAAGTGCACCTAGCCTGGCACAAAGCACTGTGGCGGTTAGTCACTGCGTTAGGAACCCGGCGACCTGAATTTAATTCCTGTCAATTTGTGGCGAGTGACGGCTGTTATGTGTGAATGCATCGGTGCTCGCTACCAGCTCCTGCATCAGCTGCCCGTGTCGGCTACATGATGGGATATGCGCATGTTGTGTGATCCTGTGTGGCTCTGTGTGTCTGTGTGGAGTGCGGTAGTGCAGTAGTTAACGCACTGCACTACTAACCCAGTGAACCGAGTTTGATTTCCGCTCCCAGTCAAGATCGGTGGAGATTATCTGAACCGATCCTGGGTCTCCCATAGGTTGGTTCAGCCTTAAATGAGTACCTGCTGCGGTGTACAAAACATCTGCACTGAGGAGACAAAGGCGGGCGGGACATGGTGGTAACCGCACCACCCTCTCGTGCGCCGTACCAGCGCTCGCTAGCAAGACTTGCCCCACCAGTCTGTCTAGCTACATGGGTGATCTTTGTGTACGCATGTGCAGCTGGGTGCGCTGCAAGTGGACAACGTGCGTCTGGAGGAGGAGTCATGGCTGGACGTGCAGAGGAGAGTGCTGGACGTGCAAAGCCGCTGCCTCACCTGGACACACCTGGCCACCATGCACGAGCAAGCGACGCTGCACCCGAGCCCACGCAACCCCACCTGGTACGGCATCCTGCACCCGGACCCCGGACCCTGTACCTGCACCCTGCACCATACAGCAGAACCCAACACCGACACCGACCACCATTACCCAGCGCACAGTAGCAACACCCAGCACCCTCGGGGAGGGGAGTAGGTGGCGGTGGATGCCGTGGGTTTTCTTGTCTCCGCTCACGGGAAGTCAATTCAGACCTGAGAGAGGGATGGGAGGGATGAGAGGGATGTGTAAATGTGCACCACTTTGGACCAAATGAATAACAATTTAAAATATGTATGCAGCGTTAATAAATGTATTGGGGCATCAAAATGAACAGAGCGAGGCCGCTCGACGCGCGGAGATGCACCGCGGCATGACGGGCCAGCGCAGACGCAGCTCCTGAGTGATCCGAGCTGACGTCTCCCAACCTGCCGGGCATGAAAAGGGGGGTCGGAGTCGGGGGCGAGCATGGGATGGGGAGGGGTGGGTGTTCGTGGGGGTGACCGTGGACATGGCTGTGACGCAGGATTTTTTTAGATATCATTTAACCAGGAAATCCACACCGAGTCTCAAGAAATGTTTTCAGGAGGATCCTGCTACATTGTGATATTTTTCCAACATCAATGACGTTGTGTGTGTGTGTTTAACTGTGGGAGGAACCAGAGGAAACCCATGTGAAGGACAGCTGTGTGCAGGGCAGTGCATGTGAGCACTCGTGATGTCTGTGAGCTGAATCTCCACGGGGGGCCAGCCCCTCTCGACCCCCCTCCCCGTTAGCCCCCCTCCCCGTTGGCCCCCCTCCCCGTTGGCCCCCCTCCCCACGGTCTCCTTACCTGCAAGCAATTGCGCAAGCTCCTAAATATAGCCTTGTGTCCCGTGGGAATTGGCCCAGTTCAGTCAAGATGCCACCACCACCGCCAACAAAGACAGATCCCCCATATATCCTTAACAGACTGTTAAGGCAAGTGCTGTTAGCGAGCACCTATGAAGGTTGGCATGGCACATTAAGGGTGGGTGTCCAGCACCATGCCCGGCCACCTTTGTCTCCCCAGTGGCGATGCGTACATATCGCACCAGGTACTCATTTGAGGCTGAGTCGACCTAGGAGAGACCCAGGACCGATTCAAATAATCGTCACTGGTGTTGGCCGTGGGCGGATATCGAACCCGGGTCACTGGGTTCGTAGTGCAGTGCATTAACCGCTGTGTTACCACTCCCCATGAGAAATCCATAGTCACTGCGCTAGAATCGGAATTTAAATTCAGCCGCGTCTGTCCTGCAAATGATTCCACACCAAGCACCCCACATTCAATATGCCTCTTGCTAAGGCTGTGGCTGCTCCTGGTAGTCACCAACTCCGGGCTACTAGTCCGGGTCACGTTTACACCACTTGCCGTCGAGGGATGCCGAGCCGCGCGTGATGTAAGCCGACAACGCACCCATGAGTCCTCCAAGACAATCCCACCACGCCCCCACCACGCCCCCACCACGCCCCCACCACGCCCCCACCACGCCCCCACCACGCCCACACCACGCCCCCACCACGCCCACACCACGCCCACACCATGGTCGCACCACGGTCCCACCATGGTCACACCACGATCCCACATAAATTTATCCTGCACGGTATCCATGCCGCAGGACGTGTGGCCGCTTAGGCGTGTAGCCGCTTAGGCCTCGGTCGATGATGACGCTCATGGCGTTATACCCACATGGGTGATCGAACACGTGGGGGGTGCAGGGTGGTTGTGCGGTGGTGACACTTGTGCCTCACAACAAGAAGAACCAGGGTTCGTTTCCCAACTCTGTGTGGAATCTGTATATCCTCCCTCTGTTTTGCACGGACCTCCTTCAGGTTCTCAAGTTTCCTCCTATAGCTAAACCCACACTCACAGACACAGTGTAACTGGTAGTGGCCAAACATTCCCAATTCTGAAAACATTACCTGCACATTACTCGAATGAGAAGCGCATGGCAATATCGGCCCCCGCTATGAAAACTTGGCAGGACCCTCCTTAAAAAGAGGCTCGAGACTCTGCGAGGCTTTCCTGGTTTAACGAGCGTAGTGATAATAAATAATAAATAACAGCGATTAAGGAACGTGGCGTCCCTGCTGCGTCGTGGGGCCATCAATGGGCAGCAGCCACCCCAGTTGCTGCTCAGATTTACTGCTCCGCGGACGCACCATGAATCTCAGCTGAACGCGCACAATAACCGCACACGCGCGCACTTCATCACCCCGCGACACCGCCGCCATCGGCGAGAGACGGGAGCGCGCGATGGCCCCGCGGGGCTGCTCTGCGACGCACGCCTTAATTAACTCGCGTTGATTAAAATGGAAATTGATTAAACTGGGCACATTGCGAGGTTACGCAATTGTGTGGTGACGTGGCACAACTGTGGCACGCAAAGTGGGTGAGAGGCGTGGTGAGTCAGAGGGCTGGTGAGATTGTGGGTGGCTGAGGTGTTGGGTGAGAGAGGTGATGGGTAAGAAGAGAGGTGGGTGTATAGGGTGGTGGATGAGTGGGCTAGTTGTGGTGTCCCTGCAAGTGATCACAAATTACTGTTTTACTCCGTAAAAAAGTAACTTGCAGCACCACACCTATCACCAACCTCATAGATCCGATTTCTGTCCCCCAAGAAAATAATTTGCAGGTTTGCTGAGCATGTCTCCTTGGACTTGAGGGAGGGAAAACCCTCGGCTGAAACAACATCATGGGGCAAGGTCGGGTTGACCTTGCTGGTGCTGTTGTGCCTCAACTATGGAGGAAGTTGCCACCCCCTGCACGTGGTTGGCGAATGTGCCATCTGTTAAGGAAGTGCGAACGGCGATCCGGAGCTTGAGACCAGGTAAAGCGCCGGGGAGAGAATACCTCTCAAGCAAACTGCTTATGGAGGTTTGACATTTGTGTGCAGACTGCCCTTTGTGATATCATTACACAGGACGGGTTCCGCAGGATTGGAAGGATGCCCTGGTGGTCCCAATTACAAAAAAAAAATGGGGATCACACTGATTGCAACACCTGCTCTTGTGTGATTCTGGGAAAAGTCCTGGCAGGGTTTATTCAACAATGCTGAGGGAGAGGCTTGCAGAGCCCCAATCACACTGGCAGCCAGTGTGATTGGATCATTGGGGTTTATTAGTAATAAATCGGCATTTTGTGACCCCCACTGCCACTGTGTGCCAGGGACTCTGAGATGATAGGACAATAGTCTGAGTCCATAATTGGCAATAAGTAACGGCAAAGCAGTTATAAGTGACTCAGAGAATTATGCGCAGTTGCGTATACAGTACACAACTTCCCTGAAGGCATTCACCTTCAGCGAGCGCGATGCCGATTACACACGGTTCGAATTTTACCCTCGATCGATGGCTGCGCAATCGCCGCACACGCTTCAAATAAAAAGCAAGGGACAAGTCCTTACTTACTAACAACTCCTATCATTTTTCATTGCTGGAGGGGTTGCCACCCCTACCTGAAAATCCTGGCTGCGCCATTGCCCAATCAGATTTCAGATCAGGGCGGTTCTGCACGTATGCCATTTTCCCTGTACGTCCACAAGAGCAGAGGTGTAGGAAATTTCAAAAAGACCTACATCTCTACTTTATTGCCCTGGTCAAGGCCTATGATACCATCAACAGGCCAGGGTCCTGGGTTATTTTTCATGATTTCGGAGTTCCAGACCCTATGCTTACAATTAGTAGGGGCCTTCATGATGGTGGGCAGGCCTGGATATTAAGCTGCCTGGCCGGGAGTCAGAGCCATTACCTGTTCACTTCAGGGTGCGACAGGGATGTCCTCTCGCACTACACTAACATCTTCTTCGACCACGTAGCTCGAGAAGCTTTTCATGGCTGTACCGGTGGCTGTACTGGTGTAATTTCCATCTGGTACAGATACAATGGGAGGCTGATCAATGCTCAGGTGCGGTCAAGGGATGGTCAACCATGTTATGTACTGTATGTGGATGATTTGGTGATTTTATATCATCGAATGCTCCTCTCCCACTCCCCATTAGTGATAAGGCAGTTGTGGAAAGAGTGTGCTTATGAACAGCTCCGAATCAGTCGAGCAGCCTTCTCTTTTCATCAGCTGAATACCTCTATGTGGAAGCTACCTGGTCTATCGCTTCATATGAAGCTCTACATCTTGGCCACAGTTATGATCTCCCTTCTCTTTGCTTGCAAAAGTAGAGCCCTCCAAACTAACATCTTCTCCGGTTAGAAACATTTAGGTTGGCCAGCCTACTATCCATCTTAGCTTTAACCAGATTGGATTGTGAGGATCTCACAAATCCTTGAGTGGGCAGGTGTGTGAGTGAGCTGTTGGGTGAGTGGCCTGATTCATGGGCTGCTGAGTTGGAGAGTAAGGCTGTTGAGTTGGTGAGTGAGCTGTTGTGTGAGTGGGCTGGTGAGTGAGTGGGCTGGTGGGTGAGTGGGCTGGTGGGTGAGTGGGCTGGTGGGTGAGTGGGCTGGTGGGTGAGTGGGCTGGTGGGTGAGTGGGCTGGTGGGTGAGTGGGCTGGTGGGTGAGTGGGCTGGTGGGTGTATGGGCTGGTGGGTGAGCGGGAAGCCCAGTGGCCTGGGAGCCCAGGGACTGTTCATTTGATGTTGAATAATGGAAACTGCTGCAGTTTTAATGTGGGGCTCCGTGTGACTGAGCTGAAGGAGCCATATGTATAATGCATCCCACGCTCCTCAGGAAGCAGAATTAGTTTTCTCTTGAAAGTGCTGCTCAAGGCAATGGGGGTTTCAATGAGCCGTGCGCAGATGGGAGGTCTTACACCCAGGAGGGAGGGAGGCAGCTCCTATACAGACACGCCCTGCATGAGCCGCTGTAATGAGAGTGAGCTGTGTGATCGGGCCGCCCTCCTTTGCGCCGGGCATCTCGGAGTGCTCGGCACGCGATAAGTTACCTGCGTCGCATCTCCTCTCAATGCATTTAACGGGGCACCCCCTGTGTCAGCTGTCTCTGTGCGGCACAAAAGGTGGCTCAGCACCTGGCCTGCGAGTGGGCATGAGTCTGCCGGTTGTGAGTGATGATTGCTGCTGTGTGCAGTCCCAATTGAGTAACGGCCTCATTTTCTCAAATGACTGTGAAAAAGATGGCACGTAGTGGCGAACGCACCACCGCTGGGCCGTGTTCTGTCCTATTGACTAAAATTCGGCTTCTTTACGGTTAGGTGACTCTGTGCATGTTGGGGTTATGTTAGGGCCATTCCCCGCTACAGCGCGATACAGGGTGATGCACTGCTAGCGGCAGGTCTCCGCGTGTGACTCTCTTGATTGCACGATGAATCCATGGCACGATGACTGCGTCTCGCGATCGTGCACCTGGGACGTGATTGGGACGAAAGAGCAAGGAGTCTGTGTCAGGAAGAAAGGTACTCGTCTCGTTTCGCGTTGAGTGGCACCCAACCACCGCGCCTTTGGCCCGGCCGTAACGGACGTCCTCTCTGCGCTCTGATAGCGCGCACATTTGGTTTGGCTGGGTTTAGCCGTGCGGGGACTGGGGAGAACATACTAACTGCATACACAGAGGTACCAGAGTCAGGAATCATGACCAAGCCTTTCTCGTTGTGGGGCACGAGTGCTGCCGCTGCTGTGCCCTGCCGCCCGATAACATCTGAGGGTTATGCAGCTGCCCGCTATGAGCAGTGGGACGATGGCCTGGGGCAGCAGCAAGTGGCGTAGTCTGCGTAGCTCGTTAGGACGTCGTTAAGCGCAGATTGTTAGAGCCGTGTTCAGCAAGTGCAGGCTTCCCCCACGGGGCCTGGACCGGGAGCAGCTGCCCCGGCAAAGACTGCGTCATTATCATCGTCATCGTCGTCATCATCATCGGAGGCGGCTGGAAGAGCGAGGCTCCCTCGCCTCACGCCCCTCCTCTCGACGTACCTTGAGTGATTATTTTTTCTGCACAACTCTTAAGGGTGTGTGCGCATGTGGCGAACTGGTTAGCGCACTGCACTACGAACGCAGACAACCCAAGTTAAATTCCCGCTCATGGCCAACATCCATGACGAATATCTGAACCGAATGGGCCTCCCCTATGTCGACTCAGCCTCAAATTAGTGTTTGGCTGGTTGGGGTGTATGCACATCAGCACTGCTGAGACAAAGGCCCCGGGCATGGTGTTGACCACGCTACTTTCATGTGAGCCGTGCCGGTCTTTATTGGTGCTCGCTCGCATCACTTCCTCATCACTGTGCGGTGGCTACAGTGGGGGGCACCTTTGTCTTGTTTGTGTGTGCAGGACGGAGTTTGTACAGCACGGCACGGTGGCGGTGACCGGCCTGGGCTCACTGGGGCGACTTGTGGAGATGTTCGCTCACACATTCCTGAGCCAGGGCGCCAAGCGGGTCAGTGAGCGCATGTGTGTGTGTAAGTGTGAGTCTGTGTGGACGTTCTAAAGATTTGACGGTAGTGGTGGTGGCGGTGGTGACGTCCCCACCATGTAGTGGTGAATAGCGATTGTTGTTGGTGGTGGCGGTGGTGGTCGTGGTGGTGACAGCACCACACACTCGCGGTTATCACCGCTTATGCATGACGCTCCGTTCGGCTCTGCCGCGTTAAATCGCCTTCGCTGTTATCCTCGCTGCAGAGAGAAAGGGGGATGCGGAGAGGGGGGGGGGGGGACGCTAACGTGGAACGTGCGCTTCGGCGACACTTCCCATTGTTTCTGGATGAATGGGGTCGACTGTGGAAGGACAAAGACAAAGGTCCCTCGTGTAACCCAGACAGGCTTTTGGGACAAATCTCGTTAGCGAGCGCCTATGAAAGCCGGCAGGCCGTTCAAATTGGTGGCATGGGTACACACACACGCGGATAGATACACATACACACGTGCACACAGACAGACACACACAAAAACGCACGGACATACACAAGGACACACACGCATGACCATATGCACACGCGCACATACAGACACATCGACATATGCACACACGGACACGCAAACATGCACCGACACGCACAGACACGCGCCGAGTGAGTGGCGGCGCGGCAAATCGGAGCCAGGGCGGCATCCAGAGACGCAGTCGCCGGTGTGCGGCCTCCCCAGAGCCCTGCCCTGGCCCCCAGTGTGAAACAATGAGTGTTGGAGAGTGAGGGGGGGGGCGTTAATGGACGAGCGAGCGCCGTTACCCGGCCATGGCACAAGCAGAGTGGGGGGCAGCACCGATGTGCCACACCCCCGGCCTGCCCCCACTGTGGCCATGTACGGCGGAGCCGCGTGCTGGTGCGTTGACACGTACGGCTGTGTTGCTTCTCACGATCCAGCACGAGTATTAAATTACAGAGTTGTGCATCGAACTAGGACCCACGTCTAACAGATTCCCATAAACATCTTCCCGTTCACCAGCAATGGTTCCAGCACCCCTCACTGCTGATGATAAGCTGATGTTTGAATATTTTGCTTGTATTCTTGGTTCTTTCGGTAAAGTCGCGTTGAAGGGAAACAATAAAATAATAATATATATAAAACAATAAAACATTTGAAAGAAGTGGCGGTTTTGTTTCTTGCCGTTGGTTTTTCACACCTGATGATGACTGTTTGCGTTACAGTCGAAACGTCGTGAGAATTTTATTGTTTTTTATATATATTATTATTTTATTGTTTCCCTTCAACGTGACTTTACTGAAAGAACCAAGAATATGAATCACTGCAGTCACGAAAGCTTTAAATCAAAATTTATTTTGCTTGTGTTGAACCAATGCTGCTGACAAGAGGCACTCCCAGAAGGAAAGCCGTGTGGCTGATGTGATGGCGGTAGGGTATTGTTCTTGTGGAGGGGCGGCGCCTGCTCGTGTATTTTGCTCCCCCACGGGGGCCTTTCACCGCACGGCTTCATCAGCGCGCTGTGTGGGGGCGCCACTTGAAATGGCGGCAGGTGGGTGGGCGTGGGGGTCAGGGTAGGGGGTGGGGGGCGTTTAAACAGCTGACAGATGCTCGCCATTAGCGCGCTTGAGCGAGGCCACGTGGTTGCAGGGAGGCAGCCGACAGTCGAGACTAGCGTGGTGTGAGCACACGCGGCTGGCTTCTCTCTCGTGTGGCCTGTGAAGAGCGATGTAGCCATTTTTTTGCTTTTCTGCACGCGCACACTCGCAAGCATGTGTACAGCACCTACGCTCATGTACGAATGTGCGTGTATCCACACCCTGTGTGAATTCTTTACGCGAATTTCCATGAGCACTAATTGAAGCGACTCTTCCCTTGACTCCCCCGGGGCTCCGCTACCGATACGGGGGTCCGCTCGTCGTGGTAGTGTTTGCTTCGTTACCCGTGGACCCAACACCACCACCACTGCCACCACCACCGTCGCTACTGCCACCAACACTATCACCGCCATCATCACCATCACAGTCACTGCCACCGCCACCACAATTGTTACCGCGATTGTCACCGCCCACATTGACACACGTGCCCGGCAGCGGTAGCAGATCACGGTCGCGCAATGGCACGGCGGGGAAACCTGTGGCTCAGAAGCGACCACAAATTAATTTCACTCGGCTTCATGAGGCTGTGGGTGACTGAGGCTACGGCTGAGCGTGCAGGAGAACGGCACTAATTGGGCCGGCGAGTGCTGGACGGACACTGAGAGACCTTCGGCGCCAATTTACCGTCATTCACAAATTGGCGTCACGCTTGTAGTTGCAGTTTTTCTGTCACCTTAAGAGACCTCTGTCCCACGGGAGGGGGCGCCACTGGCTGGGGGAAAGGGGGTCCCTTGAGGCCCCCTCGAGGGTTGCGTTTCCCGTGTGGGCGGTGCCGCTGCGCGTGTGCGGCGGCCACCGTGGGCTTGGGAGTGGAAGCGATCGCCAGGCCGTCGGGTCCATCCTGTGAGAAAGAGAGAGCGAGCAGACGAGCGGGCGCCCACATAAAAGCAACCGCGTCCCAGAAGTAATGGGTCGCGACACGGCTCGCTCGTCGGGGTGCGATGCGTGCACTGCGCCTGGCACGGCCTTGTCCTGGGCGTCGTGTCGGCTGCGTCGAGGCAGAGATCCGCAACGCGTTGTGCCGTGTTCCGTGGGCGAGCGTGCGAGTCGGTGTGTGCCTCTGTGCGTCATCACAGGCGACCCACAGCACCTGGGTCTGACCTGTGACCTGCCTCTAGTGAGCCTTCCACAATTAACGTGATGGCCTCAAAGCGTACCTAGCCTGGCACAAGCACTACGGTGATGTCCACCATCACTTCTCATGGCGAATGCTGGTTGTTGTGCATGTGCCTGGCCGTGCGATAGCCTTGGAAGCAGTGGCGCAGAGGTTGGTAACCCGAGTTCGATTCCAGCACCGGTAACGAATATCTGAACCGGTCCTGGGTTCTTGGTGTGGTGTGTAATGAACACCAGCACTGGGAGACAAAGGTGGCCGGGCACTGCACTAGCTAACTCACGCTTTTGAGCACAGTGCCGCCCCTCTTAAGGTGCTCTCATTGCTGTGCACGTGTGCAGAGTGTACGCATCATGGACGGCTTGCTGGAGGAGCGCTACGGCTGCCCTGCACCTTGACACCACTGTGCGGCGCACGTGGAGCCACGTGGTACCAGGTGGAGCCAGGTGGAGCCGCGTGGTGCCAGGTGGAACCAGGTGGAGCCAGGTGGAGCCACGTAGTGTGACGTGGTGCCAGGAGGAGCCGCGTGGTTTGACGTGGTGCTAGGTGTAGCCGCGTGGTGCCATGTGATGCCACGTGGTGCCACGTAGTGCCAGGTGGAGCCAGGTGGAGCCAGGTGGAGCCACGTGGTGCCAGGTGGAACCAGGTGGAGCTGCTGCATGGAGCTACGTGGAGCTTGCAGGATATTTCAGTGGAGGCTGCAGCCACACAGTTCCCTGTGTGAGATGCGCTTACAAATCAGCAGGGACACGGACTTGTCGTCAGCCTCCATGCCGCGGGAGCCACCGGGGAGGTTCACACCAAGCTACCGCGGTCTCGTCGATATCCGTTTGAGTGTCGTCATCATTTCAGCGTCGCCACCATTCATGATGTCCTCCTCTGGACATCACCTCGGGGGGCTGGTGTGATCAGCGTCACTCCTGGCCGCCTTTGTCTCCCCAGTGTTAATGTTTCCACACCGTGCACCAGGTACTCGTTTAACGATGAGTCGACCTAGGGGAGGCCCAAGCCCTGTTCAAATTTTCGCTGTTATCGACAGTGAGCAGGAGTCGTACTCGGATGGCTGAGTTTGTAGCGGAGTGCGGTAACCACTACACTATTGGTCCCATCACATACATGAGCACACACACAGGTACACACACACACCACCCACACAAGCAGCATACTGCGCTACGTACACGGCCACCCGAGTTTTAATCCCACTCACAGCCAACATCGGTGACAATTATCTGAACAAATCCTACTCGGCCTCAAAGGAGTACCACGGGTTGTGTAAACATCAGTATGGGGCAAACAAAGACGTGCGCACACACATACAGATATGTACACACACGCGTGCACACAGGAATCCCGGTGCTGTGTGGAGGCGGCTGTGAGGAGCGCCGACGCCGCGTGTTGCTGTGAAGTGCGCAGCACTGCCGCTGTGCACCTTGTGTGTGGGTAGCGACTTCTCAGCGTTGCGCGAGTTGTCTTCATTGCGGGGGATGAGTAATGAAGTGGTCTTTTAAACATGACGAATAAACGCAGTTATTTTATCCAAAACTCATGGGACTGGCTTTGTCACGAACCTGTGCATCCTGACAAACTCGTCCTCCTTAATAGGGTCTCTGAATCGGTGAGTTCTAGATCATTAATCTGAGACCATTAACAATAGTTATACATTACATTTAATTATCAGTCCTAATCGCATTAATCGTGCACCTCGCCATGGCAATGTGGAATTGGGAAATGTTTTGAGCCATGTTCACCTCTTGGCAAAGAGCGGAAATCCACCGCCCCGTCGATCTGCCGGTGAGAATTGATGCGAGTTTAAAAACTTGGCCAGAAATGAACACGAACCAACACAGAGTCTGGGGTGTGGCTTTAGTAAAAACTGTCGGATATTACACCACGTGGTACACAGCGGGGCTCATATAGCCATAGAGAAAATACCATCACCATCTGCACACTCGCACCCAGACACCAGCAGTCACACGACGATCACAACTCGCACCAACAATGAAGTTGATGATCCATCACTCCGACCACCGCCTACTCACTGGCAGTCAGTCGCCTCCTTGTCAATCTATCTCTACTGCTACTACCATGATTACTGTCGCGGTGAACTACACTCGTTGATTCCTCCAGCCATGTTGGGGACTCGGTCATCCAGACGCTGTGTCCTCTCATCCATCACACTGCGTTCAACCAAAACCACACTCCAGGTCACAACACTCACCCGCTCGCCCACTCACCACACTGCAGGTCACCTCACTACTCTTTGTGCTTCTTCCGTCGTACTGGTCCACTCCGAAATTCACTCTCCCATCGCCTCTTCCCCCGAAGCTCTCACAAATAACCCTGCTCATATCAAGGTAAACGCGTTACACTCTTGCCAATCACAGTTTTGATAGTGCTGCTTGTTGCTGGCCGCTTGGCGTTTTTGGCCGTTGTGCCCAGCAGCTGTTTTTACAAAAATCGAACTCACACCCTCACCATGACCGCGAGCCCAGACTGCGCCTCACAGACACAGAGCCACGTTTATTTGTCCCAAACTCAAGAGTCGCGGGCCAGGTCCGGGCCGCGTGGAATGCGCGTTAAAGTGCTTCACTCATTGACAACGGATCCGTGGACGGTGATCAACACACGTGTACACACACACACGTGTACACACACACGTGTACACGCCCACAAAAAAGACAAAGGTCCCCCTATAATCTATAACGGGCGGCTGGGGCAAGTGCTGTTAGCGAGCACCTAAAAATGGCCGGCGAGGCAGGGCCACGCACGGCCGCCTTTGTCGCCCCATTGGTAATGTATACACGTCACTCCGGGTACTCATTTAAGGCTGAGTTGACCTAGGGGAGGCTAAGACTGGTTCAAATATTCGCTGCCACTAATTTTGGGCGTGAGCGAAAGTCGAACTTCGGATGTCGTGTTCATAGCACTGCGCCACCGCTCCCCAAACACGTGCACACGTATGCACACACAGGTGTTTACACACACGTACACACTCGCGTGCATTAGGACGCCGGAGTGGGTGAGTGGTGAAAGAGTGTTGAGTGAGGATTGGTGAGTAGTGACCGTTAACCACTGCGGGTGGCCACTTGGAATGTTCGAACGCCCACCACTGAGAGGCTGCCACTCTATCAGGAGCTGGATCGGTACCGCCTGGATCACTGAAATACAGGAAGTCCAGTGGGTTGGTTCTGGCTTCAGTGACGATGTGGGATAGACAGTCCTCCACTCGGGGCAGGAAACTGGCAAACAGGGGGTGTGGAAGTGTGGCAGTGAGGTGTAGAAAGCGGAGTCCCAGGCTACTGTCAGCTCGCCTCCCCTTAAACGGGAAGTGAGGAATGTTGGTAGTTGCTTACACTCCCACTGAAGATGAATATTAGTGGAGGGATACAGGCAACGCTACCGAGTAATTTGCCTTCTGACCATCTGTCCCAGGTGCTGGCTTTCGTGGCCCCTTGGCATAGTCATACTGTTTGGTGACTTTAATGCCCAAATGTGTTGACGCAGGCACCTGGGCTGGAGTGATTGGAAGGCATTGACCAGATCAGTTCAATAACAACAGTAAGAGGCTGTTTAGACTTTTGTGCAGCCCATGGACTTATAATCACCAACATACTCTTCTAGATTTGAAGCTTTCGTGACTGCAAGGATCCATACTCTTTCGTTCTATTCGGTAAAGTCACGTAGGTAAAAAATAAAACAAAAAAATCACGTTTCGGCCACAACACAAGTGGCCTTCATCAGGTGAAGGGACCGGACTGTCCAGAGGACAGCGTTGGAGTGAAAACAGCCAAGCCAAGGTCGCGTCCTTTAAGCTGTGTGGGAGGAAACAGAAGCGCCTTGACAAAGAAATTAGCATAAAAAAGATGATGTATAGGACCGGCGCAGGGGGGGGGGGGGGGAGTTTACATAATGTTGGTGTGAAGGGAAATAAACTACTGTGAAAGTTTGGGATACCACTACTTGAAAAAATATACTGTACCATTGAAAATTTGTTTCATGTTTGGTTTGATTTAGAACATCTTTCCAATGATTGCTTAATTTGAAACCATCCTCTCGGTTGAAATTGTGTCTGTGTTTGTAAATCTGAATTGCCTCGTGGACAAATCTTTGATAAAAACCCGTGGGTTTGCAGAGAACCTTGGTATCGGAGAAAACTATATCGTGATCACCCACAGCGTTGTAACAGTGATCAGCCACGGCAGAAGAATTCGGTCTGCCGTGTTTCAAATCTGATTTGTGCTCGCGAATTCGGTCAGAGACATGTCGCTTCGTCTCCCTGATATAGCAGTCGCCACAGGTGCAGCTCAATTTGTAAACCCCGGGGTACTGTAAGTCAGGAATGACATCCTTCACGGATGGGATCAGGTCACGGATTTTGTGTACTGTATTGAACCGGACCAGGATCTTGTGTTTGTTTAGAATTTTGGAGATCTTTTTAGTAACGCCTGCTATATATGGTAGTGTGATGGTTTTGATCGGAGTATCAAGTGGTTGTTTCTGTATGGAGGGAGAAACAGCTTGGCGGATGGTACGGTCAGAGTATCCGTTCCTCTTGAGGGCCAGATGTACATGTTTTAATTCACTGGTCAGGTGGTGTTGGTCCGAAATGCAATGATCCCTGTGGTATAACGTTTTGATGAGAGAATTATTTTGAGTTGGGTGGTGGTGGGAATCAGGTTTCAAGTATGAATCTGTGTGGGTGGGTTTCGAGTTCAAATCCGATTTTAACTCAAATCCGATTTTAGACAGGACTCTCCTACAAGCTCATTTAATGTTAACACAAAAAATGTCACCTTCTGATTGGAACCACGTAGACAACATGACTGCTTCTTCGACTGATTCACTGTCAGTCAAATGCAAAGCTAACCTGATTTCTAAATTCAACCACCTATCAAAGAAGAACCCAGTTCCACATATAACAAAACTGGACATCAACAAAATCGTCATTAATCAGAGTAGCACCCTGATTTCGGACAATCTGAAAACAGTACTGGCTAGAGGGCTAAATTTTGCTATCACCCCAAAACATATACCAGTAGATGACATCATCTCTCAGGTCGATGTAGCCCTCAAAGGCGTAGGACACATCCAAGCAGACGTTGCGAGAGCTGAAATAGCCACTATTCTTAAGAATGCTAAGAAACCCATTAGCAACATCAGCAAAAAGGAACGGTCTGAACTCGCGAATTTAAAAAACAGAAATGATATAGTCATCCTCTCAGCCGACAAAGGCAACGCTATTGTAATTATGGATAAAGATTCATACAACAAAATCCAGAATCTGCTCAACGATGGAAGTTACTCAAAAATTAAAAATGACCCTACTATTAGCCTAACGATAAAAACCAACAAAATCATCACAAGTTCGACCTCCCTAATCGAACCAACAAAACGTCCCTCCCTAAAACCTTCTGCTGCAAGACCCCCTAGATTCTATGGTCTTCCCAAGATTCATAAAGAAGGCACCCCACTACGACCCATCGTATCCACGATCAACTCCCCTACCTACAGGCTAGCCCGTTTTCTGTCAGGTACCTTGCTGCCTTTCACTGGCAAGACCACCTCAGCAGTACTTAACTCAGCCCAATTGGTCTCTATGGTCAAAGACGTTGTACTGTCCCCTGACGATATCCTTGTCAGCTTCGATGTGGTCTCTCTGTTCACCAAGGTCCCAGTACCTGATACCATTAAATAATTGAAAATCTGGTCCAACATGGACTAGACCCCGATACACCTGCGCTGGTTAGGCACTGCCTCACCAATACCTACTTTACTTGGAATGGCACCTTCTACAAACAAAATGAGGGTACCCCCATGGGTTCCCCCTTGTCACCAGTGATAGTCAATGTTTTCATGGAGAAATTTGAATCAGACGCCATCCAGACTTCCACCCTTAGACCTTCCCTGTGGAAGAGATATGTAGACGACACTTTCGTCATTTGGCCACATGGCCTCCCAGCTTTGAACCTTTTCCTGGACCACATCAATTCCAGACACCCCGCCATCAAATTCACCATGGAAGTGGAGAAAGATGGCAAGCTGCCATTCTTGGATGTTCTATTTGAGAGGAGACCTGATGGCTCATTGGGTCATTCTGTCTACAGCAAACCCACCCACACAGATTCATACTTGAAACCTGATTCCCACCACCACCCAACTCAAAATAATTATCTCATCAAAACGTTATACCACAGGGCTCATTGCATTTCGGACCAACACCACCTGACCAGTGAATTAAAACATGTACATCTGGCCCTCATGAGGAACGGATACTCCGACCGTACCATCCGCCAAGCTGTTTCTCCCTCCATACAGAAACAACCACTTGATACTCCGATCAAAACCATCACACTACCATATATAGCAGGCGTTACTAAAAAGATCTCCAAAATTCTAAACAAACACAAGATCCTGGTCCGGTTCAATACAGTACACAAAATCCGTGACCTGATCCCATCGGTGAAGGATATCATTCCTGACTTACAGTACCCCGGGGTTTACAAATTGAGCTGCACCTGTGGTGACTGCTATATCGGGGAGACGAAGCGACATGTCTCTGACCGAATTCGCGAGCACAAATCAGATTTGAAACACGGCAGAACGAATTCTTCTGCCGTGGCTGGTCACTGTTACAACGCTGTGGGTGATCACGATATAGTTTTCTCCTATACCAAGGTTCTCTGCAGACCCACGGGTTTTTATCAGAGATTTGTCCACGATGCAATTCAGATTTACAAACACAGACACAATTTCAACCGAGGATGGTTTCAAATTAAGCAATCATTGGAAAGATGTTCTAAATCAAACCAAACATTAAACTAATTTTCAATGTAACAGTATATTTTTTCAAGTAGTGGTATCCCAAATTTTCACAGCAGCTTATTTCTCTTCACACCAACATTATGTAAACTCCCCTCCCCCCCATCCCTGCGCCGGTCCTATACATCATCTTCTTTATGCTAATTCCTTTGTCAAGGCGCTTCTGTTTCCTCCCACACAGCTTAAAGGACGCGACCTGGGCTTGGCTGTTTTCACTCCAACGCTGTCCTCTGGACAGTCCGGTCCCTTCACCTTATGAAGGCCACTTGTGTTGTGGCCGAAACGTCGTGATTTTTTTGTTTTATTTTTTACCTACGTGACTTTACCGAATAGAACCAAAGAGCACCAACATACTGTTCCAGAATCGGTGTTTCCAAACATCGATTCACTCCAGATCCAAAGAACATTTGCTGGACCATATAGTGATGGAACAGCGGATGTGGGCCCATGTTCTTGACACCTGGCCCTACCGTTGAGCTGATCTGCCCATTGACTATCGGCTTGGCATGTGTAAGATGTGCCTGTCATTCATCTACTGTGGTGGTAGGCGTCCACCTAGTACCCCATTTAAACCTACAATCGCCTGGTCTTGACTCACTGCTGATGAAAGCTGTAAGAATTGTATAATTACTTACAGCTCAGGTTGACCCCCATCCTGATGCCAAGGTGAAATGGGTGATGTTCAGGACTGTGGCTCATGCAGCTGATATGGCTGCATTGGGTACCCTTTCCAGACCTCCCCAGAGAGCCTGGCTGACAGAGGAGGTGTTCTGGCTAGTTGATAGTGATAGGCCTACTCCCCCCATCTGTAACCCATGTCAGAAAATGATGTGGCTTAGCACAGCCTTCACTTGGAGCTTCAGAGAGCTGTGCATCACTACAAGTGATGGTTGCAGGTTGCTGAGGAAATTGAAAATGCCTCAGTAGCTCACGATTAGAATTAACTTTTTAAAAATCCATCAATAAAGTAACTTGCAGCACCACACCTATTATTATCATCCTTAAGGGATAGAATGGTGATCCGATCTCCGACCCCCAGTTTGCAGATTTGCTGGGCATTTCTAAGGTCTTGGGGGAGGGAAAATCCCTCAACCCGACATTATCATGGGGCAAGGTGAGGATGACCCTGCTGGGGCTGCCATACCTCATAAAGTGGAAGTAGCCACTCCCTGTGAGTGGCTGCCTGATGTACCATCTGTTGAGGAAGTACAAAGAGTGATGCAGTCTGAGACCAGGAAAAGCGCCAAAGATGATCTCCCAAGCGAACTGTTGAGGGAGGATGGAAATTGTGTGCAGGCTGCCCTATATGATATTGTTATAACTGTCTGGACCATAGGACGGATTCTGCGAGATTGAAGGATGACCTGCTAGTCCCCGCATTGATTGTAACTACTGGGGCATCTCCCTCCTCAGTGTGTGTAGAAAGGTCTTGTCAAGGATTATTCAACATTGCCTTGCCAGGCAAACTGAGCAAAGCCTTGTGAAGCCCCAATGTCGTTGCAGAACTACTGCTGAACCTGTAACGTGACAAAAAGAGGTGGGGCCTTACCATCAGCCCCACAGAAACAAAGCACCTGCCTCGGTATTTTGTGTCATCAAACACTCCACCCCTTCAACGCCCCATGAACGATGGCGCAGTTGTAGACAGTGAATGAGTTCCCATACCTGGGCAGTGTGCTTATGACGAGTTGTGTATTAGTAGCAAAGGTCTCACTCCAAATCAGTCGAACATAATTATATTTTCATCGGCTCTGTAACGTTGTGTGGATGCTACCAGACCTGTCTCTCCATACGAAGCTTAAGGTATTTTTTTCTATGCTTACGAAACCTTGACCCCCTCTGAAGAAACATCTACACCGGCATGAAGCATTCAGGGTGGCCTGCCTATGATCCATGTTGTGTTTAACCAGACAGGATTGTGTGAGGACCTCATAGATCCTTGAAAGATCTAGACAAAGTTTAATCGTTGAGCTTTTTTGGCATGTGAGGCTGCCTTGGTTGGGTCATATAGCCCACATGCCCAGATACTGCATGCCCAAGCAGTTTCTGTTTGGCCAGATAGAGGTGGCTAAACGGGCACGGGATGGGCTAGAGAAGAAGTAGCCTGATGTGGTACAGGAGGATTTGGAGCTGATCGGATGTGCCAAAGCCTCAATGGAGGAGGCTCGTGAACGACACGACTGGGTAGTTGGAGGCAGTTGCCTTCCAACAACAGCGGTGGGCAGAGGAGCGACGTTCTTAAAGAGTGGAATGCCAAGTGGCCAAAACGCAGCGAGGTGGTTCAGTAGGGAGCACAGATGGTGCATCTGTTAGTCGCCTAAGTCAGTCAATCCATGGCACCTGGAATTGTCCCGTGACCTCCTGCCAGCGAGTATTCAACACTTCACGTGGCCTCAAAGTGCACCTAGCTTGGCACAAGCGCTATTATGACATCACCACCACTCAGTATCGAATGGCAGCTGTTTTTGTTGTTGTTGTTGGAGTGATGAGAAGTGTTTAGGAGTGGTGAAGAGTGGTGTGTAATAAAGAGGGTGGCGAGGCATAAATGAGTCTGGGTCTCTTCACCGACGTTCCCCTTTCTCTTGTCACACGCAGAGTGTGGTGGTGAGATGCGAGGTGCGTGGTGGTGAGTGAGTTGAGATTGAGGTGTGAGTGAGGCACGTTGTGTGAAGTGGGCTGTTTGTGACGTGTGTGGTGCGAGTATGTGCGGGACACTTTGCTTCACTTAAGCCCTCGCAGTGGCGAGTCCAGTGCTGGGTTCACACGGGATTCCTTACTCAGTCGGGATCACACACAGCAGCGACCATCACCCCCTACTGCGAAAACATGGCAAGACACTCTTGAAAAAGAGTCATGAGACTCAGCGAGGCTCTCCTGGGTAAACAAGTACGTTCACAACTGCCGAGTGAACTCTGCTTGATGCGTTCTCAAACTCGGTGTGACGGGTATGCAGAGTGTTGGGGGGGGGGGGGGGTGAAATGGTAGGGGTTGGGCTGTTCAATACCCCCACCCCCGGCTTGTGGGCCCTGATGCATTTGCACCACTGCACCCTCTACAGCCATGTCACTGGGCCTAAAGTCGTATATTGGTCTCCATATATAGTTCTCTATGTTGAGTCTGTGGGTCTCTATGCCAGTCCATCTCCATGTAAATCTATGGGCTTCCATATAAGTCCAATACTGTACTTGAGGCTCAATATGCCCTCACGTTACTCCTCGTCATGAGTTAAGCCACGCTGTGCGAACCCAGTCTAACGGGCGAGGTGAACTTTGACGCCATCACGTGAAGTGTGGAAGGCTCGCTACTTGCAGGTTACGGAAACAGACCCAGCTGTTATGGGCTGGCAGATACTGCCCACTGTGCCACCCCAGTCTGGTAACAACAGCAGCAGGAATGCCCTGAATCCGGGAGGGTCTCACTGAGTCTTATTGAACCCCCGCCACCCCCGCTTCTTGCCGGGCTTTCCTGGCTTCGAGATGTGATCCCCTGGTCCGTGAGGACATCATTTCACGTGTGTGAGAAGCCAGAGTGAACGGAGAAACCCCACACGTGCGAGGGGGAAACACGCTCACAAACCCTGCAGCACTGGCTGGGGAGTGTGCGCAATCCCAGGTCTTATGATGGCTCAAGAGTGGACCAGGGATGTTCACCCTGCAGGTAAAGACGGCCAGGATTCTCCAGCTTTCAGGGAGAGGGGAATCCCAAGGTGTTTGCAAGAGGCTTCCTGCAGGATGGGCAGGTAGAGGATCGTGATTGTCCACACTGTAAGCAGAGGGAATGCTAGGTGTGGGAGACACGATGTCATGCAGAGTACACGTGGCTAGATTAAAGAGGGCGTCATTACGAGGTCGTCATCATGCCCTGCCTAGCGGCTGGGTTGTGCTTAGAGTTGCCACCTTTCCAGGAACTGGCGTCTGTGGTCGAGTGGCAGGAATTGATGTGTACCGAGATCCAGTGGTTAAACTTTATTTCAGGATACTGTGCAGTTCTGGAAGGCCTTGGCTGACTCACAGACATGGTCTGGGCTTGCTGAATGGAGAAGGTGTCATCCCGAGCTATTGTGCTGCTATTCGTGTGCTTAATTCACGCGGAGGAGCCATGTCCTCAGGGTTCTTTGTGCAGTGCTAACCCCCCAGCTGGGGTGGGCTGTGTTGCTCATCGGGTGGTCGGGAGGTGGGGGGGCGTGTCGCTCATGGCAGGGAAGCGGGGGCACCCGGCAGGTGAATCAGATGGCGCCTCCGTGGTCTCCTCTCCCCCTGGGGTTCGCAGCCCGGCTCCCCTCCTGTTCCAGCTCCACGTGTTTTAGAGCCACGTGTCCCCGTGCGCTGAGGGTCTGGGTGGCTGCACAAGGTGCACACATCCCATGAACTGCACGCGTGGAGCCTGCCTGAGTCCACCTGAATTATTGTTCCAGTCGTGGTGAGACAGAGGCGTTGGTGGTGGTGAGGGGCAGAGTTGCCCTTGTGCTTAAGATGCCGTGGATAAGGATGTAAGTGACAAAGAGATGACGGTGCAACACAGTGAGGGGCGGCACCATTCCCTCTTTTCCGACCTCGACTCGGAACGGATTTCGTACCGGGAGGGGGTTATGGGGGGTGGGTGAGACCAGACAAGACTATTCACCATGGTGGTGGTGGTGGTGACGGGGGCGTCTGGGGGGCAGGGACGGTGGAGAGGAGGAGGGAGTGTTGAAGGGGGTGGGGTCCAGGATGAGGATTGGCAGGCTCGTGGGGGTTGCCACCGCCGTTACACCCCGTGTTTGTGCAGCAGATCAGCTTGCCAGGCGCGCGTCTTCACAGAGAAGCGCTTGGGGATGCGCAGCCTGCGCACGTCAGCCACGCACTTGTGCAGCTGCTCGGCCAGTGCATCCATCTCGTTGGCCCCAATCCCGGCGGAGCCGTCGACGCCCAGCGCGTCCGTCAGGGTCTCGGGGCGGTCGCTGTTCCGACGTTTCTTGCCTCCTCCCCCTCCTCCTCCTCCGCCGCCGGCACCGCCGCAGCCGGGTCCTCCAGCCCCTCCGCCCAGGCCCTTGCCCTCTCGGCCACCCTCCCGTCGCGCGGGCCGCTGCAGGGTGAGGGTCTCCGGGCGGCTCGGGTTAGCCGCGTGGGGCGGCGCGGGCAGCGGGGACGCGTGACCCTCAGACTGGCTGTCGCAGCTGGAGGTGGAGCCCTCCTCGGTGGAGCCGCTGTCCGAGTCCTTCTCCTCAGCGCCGTCCGCGTCGCGCTCCACCTCCACGCGGCGCCGTGGGGCGAGCGGAGCATCCCGCCGCCTCGCGGCCGGTGCCGAGGACGAACCACCTAGAGAGTGGGGGGGATGCGAAGATGGCGACACGGGGATATAGACACGGGACAGGGACACGGGAGCTTGCACCTCGTACTGGCTGTGGGCGTATCGCTTGTGAGTTGGAGTGATTCGTGCGGTGTGAATATTCGTAACGGAGGCTATTGTTAACGTTTGTGCCGTGCCGGGCGGGAGAGTTATGGCTGTCGCCGGGAGGGAGTTGTGGCGGCCCGGGGCTCTGCCGTGGGAAAGCGGTGCCCACAACAAACTGGGGTGGCTACAATGAGGGCTCGTTCAAGAAAAAGACCCGGTATATGCGGTTTTCCGCATATACTGTATATACATTCCTTCTGACAAACTTAGTGTGCTAATCTCTGTAACTGCGGGACGGAGGCAGGTGGTGGTAGAGTGGTCAGCAGCGCACGGGGCTCTCCAGTCAGAGGGTGTCAGTTCAATTCCATCTCTTGGCACGGCAGGGGAAGTTATGGGAAGAGTTTCTTAAATATCCCTCACTTCTGTCCACCCAGCACAATAAATGGGTTCACTACAGTCGATCAACAAGTCGCATGTTGTGTTTAGTTTGCTGTCCTTCCATCGCACCTCCGATTACCATGGTTGGTTACGTACGGTGCGAAAGAAGTTCAACATACAAACATAAAGTGTGGGTACGCCCACTTTATTCAAGGCAGCTGGTCAGCATGGAAGAGGAGACTAAATACCTTCAAGACTTCCCTTTGGCCAGCAGTGATGTGGGCGAGCAATTGCCGGGCTGCGCCGTTACCTTGTAACTGAGAAACGAGGGCAAATTATGTAACACGCGGTGACTGAGGCGCCGTGCCGTACGTTCGTGCGTCCTAATCAGTGCATGACTAAAATGTAACTGACTTTTGGAGCTGGAAATGGATTCTGACAACCCTGCAAAGAACCCGAGGAGGTCACTGTGCGGGCTATGACTGCGTGGGGTGGGGGGGGTTGCTCCCGGGGGTCCCAGGTAATCTCCGTGGGGGGCCCCGCGCGTCCCATGACATCTCCGTGCGTCCCCTGGCCCATCTGGGCGCGATTGGCGGCTCCCATCCCCGCCGCTGGCGTTGCTAGATAATTGCTGACTATTCATTGCCTTAAGTGCACCACCTCAATTACCATTATCAGCGGCGGCCGCTGTTCCTCCTCACACGGCCCCTGCCAATCACGAGCCCCCCCCCCCACTCCGTATCCCCCGCTTGCCCCCCATAGCCCCTGCCAATCACGACGCCCCCAACCCCCACCCACCCCGTATCCGCCCCTACCCTTGCCCCCCCCCCCCACCGCATCCCTCTCTCCCCCTTATCCACCGCTCCGCAACGGTAGCCAGAATAAGCGCCTTGCGACCGCTCCCCTTCACAACCATCACCAGCGCCATCAAAGCCATCACCACTAACCATCACCGCCATCACCACCATTACAGCCATCGCCATCATCACAGCCATCACCACCATTACAGCCATCACAGGCATCATCACCACTATAACTCCCATCACCGCAATTCTTACAATTACTGCCATCACTGTAATCACTACCATCACTTCCATTACAACCAAGCATCATGATGACAGCCATCAAAATCACCGCTATCACCATCACCGCCATCACCACCATACATCCATCACTATGACAGCCATGACCACCATCACTGCCAGCACCACCGTCATGATCACAGTCATCAAAATCACCACCATCGCAATAAACACCACTTCCACCAATACAGGCATCATTACCATCACCACCATCACCATGCCGACCATCACCAGCACTCCTCTAAATTTGTATCCCCTCGTACCCCCCCTTCCTCCGCCTCTACCCGCGGGGGGTACGGGGTAGGGGTCACGACCCCCGTGGTCAGCGCTCAGCGATAACAGTCAAGGCACGGGAATCACGCGTGTGTGTGGAGGTAGTGTAAGCGGTTAAGCGCGCTTCGCTATGAACTCAGCGACCCGAGGTCGATTCCCGCTCAAGACCAATAACAGTGCTGATTATGTGAACCGTGTTATGGGCATCCCCTAGGTCGACTCGGCCTTTAAATAGTACTCCGTGCAGCACTGGGGAGACAAAGGCGGCTGGGCGTGGTATTAGCCACCCATCCCTCGTGTGCCGTGCGACCTTCATAGGTGCTCGCTAACAGCACTTGCCGCAACAGTGTGTTTTAGATATAGGAATAGGTTTTACCCTTTTAACTGGCACAAAAACTGACACCTTTATTCAAGTGTATTTAAGGCTATACGGGAAATCTTTGTGTTTTTTTGTGGGCGAGCTTGCGACGGGTGATTAGGATGTGGTTGATCGCGTTCTGGACGAGTTGACTCAAGATCAGTGCTATAGGGAAGTGTGCTGTATGCGAGTACTGTGGGTGAGCGCGTTGTGGCTGAGTGTGCTCTAGGTGAGTGCTGTGGGTGAGTGTATGTGGATACGCGCGATGTTGGCAATGTACTGTGGATGAGCACACTGTAGGCGAGTGTACTATGGGTCAGTGTGCTTTGGATGAGTGGACTGCGGGTGAATCGCCGCTACTCACGGAAGAACACGAACTCGGTGTAGCTGCTCCACACCTTGTCCTCATTGTGGCCGCTCGGCTGGCCGCTCACACCGCTGCCATGCGACGCTACGAGCGAGAACCCGGCCTCTGCCAGGGCGTCGAAGGCCTGCTCCGGTGACGCGTGGGCCAGCGTGAGCCGCGACGAGTACCTCCCGGGGGGCCCTCTCTCCACCTCCCGGCTGCGCTCCAGCAGGGCGTCCCCAAACACGGCGCGAACCAGGGCGCTGCGACCGCACGCTGAGATGCGCGCCGCCCTGCGAAATCTCCCATCGACACCTCCACCACCACCTCCACCCTCCCTGCCCGGGAAGCTATAATGGCCCCTGCAGGCCAGGGTGATGTAACCGGGGCTGGCGGTTTCGCGGCCGGGCGCCTCGGACACCTCGCTGCCTTCGCTGTTCAGGGAGCTGGCCTTGGCCGGGCGAGGGGTGAGGGCCTTCACCAACTCGGGCAGCTGGAAGAACTCAGCCTCGCGGCGCAGGCGGGCCCGCTCGGGGAAGTGATCGGGCAGCACCAGCTGCTGGTCGCGCAGGAAGTCCAGCACGTATCGGAAGAGGAACCCGTCCCGGTCGATGAAATAGCGGCCGCGCGCGTCGCGCACCACATCCGCGGTAGCCCCCGACGTGGCCGCCACTGTCGGTCCCGCGGCCGCTCCTGTGGTGGCCCCCGCAGCTGAGAAGCTCCGCCACAGCACGGAGTGGGGCACGCTGGTGAGGGTGCTGCGCCGGGTCACGTAGATCTGTCCGCCCACGTTGAGTTCCACCACCTCGGTGTAGAGCGGCTCCCCGCCGTTCGTTTGCGGCTGGGAGCCGGTTAGGCCATCCAGAAGCGCCATTGCCACCGCCTCCCCGCTCCCTGCAACGGTGCAGCCGTCTGCTCCTCCGCCTCCTCGTTCCTCCTGGGCTCTGTCAGCTCGAGAGTGCAGGGCGCACGGCTCCCAGAGAGACCCGCACCGCCAGCCGGGGTGACGTCTGCATGGACGCTATAGACGGGGTAGCGCAGAGCAATCTGGCGATGCAGGGCGCTCCGGGATTTGCAGGGCGCTCCGGAGGATGCAAGAAGACGTGGTTGCAGGGCGCTGCTGGGAGGGCGCAGGCAAAATGCGGAATGATGAGGATAATGATGCGAGGCGATGATTATGCCGGTAATTCCTGGGCGCTCCCAGATGCAGCAGGGCGGTCTTGGATTGCAGGGCAATGGGGTTATGCGGGGCGCTGCCGCCGCGGGGTGCAGGGAGAGCGCAGGCAGAATCCGTGCGGGGTGGCGGCGATGCGCGGCGATGGAGGCGCGGCAGGGAGCGGCGGCGCGTGACGCGGAGATGAGAGAGAGGCGCGTGACGACACGAGGAGGAGCGGCGGAGGCGGCGGCGGCGCCTCCTCCTCCTCTCGCGCACGCCGCGTGCTGCTGCTCGACTGCGTGTGTGTACTGCGTGTGCGTACTGCATGTGCGTACTGCATGTCTGTGATATGGGGATCGGGAGTGTAGCGGTGAGTGCACTGCGTTACGAACCCGGCGACCCCAGTTCGATTTCTGCTCACGGCCATCAACACCAGTGACGAATATCTTAACCGGCCCAGAGCCTCCCCTTGGTTAACTCAGCCTCAAATGAATACCTGGTGCGATGTGAGTACCTGGTGTGACATCGCCACTCGGGAGACAAAGACGGCCGGGCGTGGTTCTAGTCACACCACCCCCTCGTGTGCCGTGTCAGCCTTCATATGTGCTCGCTAACAGCACTTTCCCCAAAAATCTGTTCAGTGCTATACGGATGATCTTTAACGCGTAGGCTTCCGCGACCAATTGAGTACAGATATTGTAAATATTGTGGCTTTGCTCTCCAGCACGCCTGTGTGCTGTACTTGTAACGAATTGGCACGTTCTGTTTACGTGACAAACTTTAATAATTGGCTGTTGGGTGGTGGCGGGTCTAACGACACATTTATATATTTACGCAATCTAACCCAAAACACCTGTATCACGGATAATCTCTGTCTCGTTTAATGTGTGTGGTGTGTGTCTATACTGTGTCAGATGGCCTTCATATATGCTCCTTCATAGCTGCTCGCTAACAGCACTTGCTCCTACAGTCTGTTAAATGCTAAAGGGGTATCTTTGTGTCAGATGTGCTGTGTGAGTATTGTATGTGTACTATACTGTGTGTACGGTATGTCTCTGTGTGTACTCTGTGCGTGTGTGTAATGTGTGTATTATGTGTATGCATTGTGTGTACTATGTGCATTTTTGTACTCTGTGGAATGTGTGTGTACTGCGTGCGTGCTGGGGTTGCATGCAATTTGTGAACGGTGTGTACTGTGTGTACATACAGGGCTCGTGCTGCGTGTGTACTGCGTGTGTGTGAAAAATATACTGTGTACTGCGTGTGCATGAAGGGCGTGTGCTGGGTGCGTAACTGTACTGCGTGCGCATGCAGGGCGTGTACTGCATGTGTGCTACTTGCTATTCGAGTGTGAAAATGAGAATCTGTAGCTCATCGAGCCAGTGATTGCGTGTGTCAGGCTTATTAACGCTTAGCTAACGACTTAATTGCTTCCTATCTGACAGCGCAGGTAAATACAGTAATCATAATCACTCCCCTGTGGTCTCATTGTACAAACATAACAATGATACATGCTCTTCAATACTTAATGCCTCACTAAGTCTCAGGACTCATTTTGAAGAGGGTCCTGCATTGGGATATTTGGCCAAAAATTCCAATGTTTATGGGAGAGTGGCTTCTCATGGGAGGAAACGAGAGAACCCAGAGAGAGCCTATACTGCCGATTTGAGAGGTGACACAACCTCTCACAGAGCGATTCAATAATTCATTGCTGCACTGCCATCTACTGGCTATCTTGCAGCCGATACCTGCATCGTGTATTACTATCGCACGATTACGGCCAATGTGTAATGTGTACACGACCTGTGTGTCCTTTGTGCACACTGCATGTGTACTGCATGTGTACTGCATGTGTACACGTCCCTTATAGTCTCTGTACTCAATTCCTGTGTAATGTATGTGGGCATGTACACATCCTGTGTGTACCGCACGCGCACACGTCCTGCGTGTATTTCATATGTACATGTTGCGCACTGCGTGTGTATACGTTATGTATGTACTTCACGTGTGCTGGTAATGCACTCCGAGTAAACAAACATGGAACGTTGGGCCAACCACATGCCAACGTAGGTTCAACGTTGGCACGCATCCTGGGCTGCCTGTGAATACGTCCTGCGTGTACTACCTGTGAATACGTCCTGCGTGTACTACCTGTACACACGTCCTGTGTGTACTGCCTGTGCACTGCATGTGTGCACGACGTGTGCACATGACACGTGTGTACCGTCTGTGCTCACGTCGTGCGTGTACTGCCTGCGTACCGCGTGTGCACACGCCTGTGTGTACTAATTGTGTACGCCACGCGGAAGTCCATGTATCCCTTAGAAGCTTTCAGTCTCATGGGACGACTGGCCTTCGCAGCCCAGCGCGTGGACCACTGACCAGGCAGAGCTAGGATTCGACACACAGACGGGGGCATGACGGAGTTAGTGTTAAGGTCACTCCAATGGTTTCATGTAGTGCATTGGAAAGTCAGTGATCATTTTCGTAAAAAAATCTCATTCACATATATGTTGCTTCAAGTAAACGTTTAATTTTACACTTCCCATCAGTCGTATGGCCTAATGGTATTGATTACATAATGTCAGCAAAATTGGTTCAATGCAAGCAAACTGGACCGGCTTAGACAGACAGCCCTTCATTAGCAGAGTTTGTCTCGCTGGTGAACTGTCAGATGTTTACAGGCAAAACCCTTCCATTAGATATGGATCCCTAGTTCGGCACTAAACTATAAAATATACTTCACGCGCGTTAAAATCGGTGTCGTTGTGAATCTAAATAAACAATAAATAATCAGTTGTGGTCAGATCTCTGACGTTGCCACAACGGCTCCTCCACGCTTGCACCATCAGTTGAACAATAACGAGCTGCCCTGAACAGAGCCACAGTGGGCCCTGCTGCCCACTCGTTTGTATTGTCGATGTTTTGGTCCCGTGTCAGTTGTAACAGAATACTGCACAGTATACAAGCATGCCGTCTGCCTCCCCCACGTATAATATATCCCTCCACATGAAAAATATTAAAGCATTTTTACACATCTCATCAGCTACACGGCCTTTTGTGAGTACATCGTTTCGGCAGCATTGGTTAAGCCACGAGCAAAAGTGGACCGGTTTCGATATTTTGGGGTCTCGACGCACATTCTCTGTTGTGCATCATCAGTCTTGCGTCGAACCAGGACCCATACATCTCACAGACAGGGCCCTTGCCTGTAACATTTGGCAGTCCACCAACATTGATTCAAGTAAGCCTGGCTCTGCTGATGAGACACTAAATGTCAAACCCGGTCCAGAGTGTTGATTGCATTGAACCAGTGCTGCTGATATGACACACGACCAGAAGGAGGCCATGTGTGACTGATGGGATGCGTAAGATAAAATAGTTTTTTTCATGTGGAAGGACATATATGTGACGGAGAATCCGATTTATTTATTTACGATACTGATCACTGACTATTCAACGCGCTCGGTGAAACCAGTGGAGTTGACCATAACCCCGTCTCCGTCTGTGTATGCACCGTACGTTAGCGAACCGTGCTCATCGGCGGTGCGGGGGACGGACAACAAACTACTGTACACACAAAAGAGCAGTTCTACAGAAATTAAGTTTTCAATCTGAAACGGTGAGTCGAACCCTAGCGGTGCATGGCCATTCGTCCAGGCGCTGGGCCGTGAAGGTTCAGGGGTCCCAAGAATTGTGAAGCAGGCGTACATCGTCCGCTGTGTCGGTGTTGTTGCTGCTGCTGTTCATTGTCTCGACAACGCCGAGGCTCGCGGTGATCTCGAGCGGACCTCGCGGCCGCTGGGGGGCGCCGCTCCCGCCGTGGGGGCCGCGATCCCGGCCCCGGGGTCGCGGATCCGCGCTGCGAGGTGACGTCAACATCCGCCAAGGTTTTAAACAAATCCGGCCTTAATTTATTGTGGTAGCAAATTTTCAGGGAAACGAGGGTCTCGGGTTTTTGTCGTGGCCGTAATTAACTTTAATCGCCGGTTTTGCTATACATTTTAGATGTTGGGATGTCGCGTGACCCCTGACCCTGTAACGGGCGCCTTATTCAAAATGGCCGGGCGGGGTTGTGTTGCGGCGTCGCCAACCGCGAACACCTCGCCTCGTTAAGCAGCGCTCACTCTCGCGAAAAGTCACCAATTAACCCCTTCACTCAACAGTGAACCCACTAATTCGATCATGAATTGGCCAACTTGATAATTAACTACCTTATCACGGAGCTCTTCGCCGTCGATAACGAGGATGGGGACTCCGGCCATGGGAGACAGAATCGAGGTGACGAGGGCTGTGAGGGAAGACGAGGAGGGAGATGGGGGAAGAGGCTAGAGGACAGGAAAACGGGACGAGGAGGAGACGATAAGTGGGCGTGAGGGGTGAGGAGGCGAGAGGGAGATGTGTTATTGTGTTGCCGCTCTGTGATCGCCGTGCCGACCTTCACCGGTGCTGGCTAACAACAACACTTGCCCCAAAAGTAGTGCGTGGGCTACGCGGGGGATCTTCGCGTGATCTCTGTGGATGTGGACCTGTGTGTGCTTCTGGGATGTATTGGAGTGCCTATATATGTGTGGTGGAATAACGTATACAGTATACCTCTGAGTTTCTGTATGTGCATGTTTCTCTGGGTATAGCTGGTGTTTACGTGTGTGTTTTGTATATATATGTGTGTGAGTGTCTTTACTGGTGTACAATAATTCAGTATGTTTATGTGGATGTGTGTGTATATCTGCGGTGGTTTTTTTCTGTCTGAGTGTGTAAGTGTATATGTACCTGTGGGAGTGTCTATATCTGTGCATGAACAACTGAATGTCTTGGTGTATGTTTCAATGTGTATATTATATTCGTGTGTATGTAGCCGTGTATGTATATCTGTTTATTTCTCTGTGTGTGTGTTCCTGTGTCTGCAGGATTACCAGGTCCTGCAGCTGCTGGGGAAGGGAGCCTTTGCCTGCGTGTACCGGGCGCGCTCCGTGGGCTCCCTCATCGAGGTCGCCATCAAGATGGTGAGACACAGGGAGACAGATACACTAAGACACAGAGACACACGGAGACGCATGGAAACATACAGAGACACCAGAGATGCATGGAAACAGGGTGACACATGGAAACACACAGACACACGGTCGTCTTCTTGTGTGTTTATCTCATATTGCATATGCTATGGCCCGTTCTCTGGCCCTGGCGAGGTTCTCCACATTATGCGGCTCCTCTACGAGTCAACAGGCCGATAGATGCTCGATGGTCTTTGTTTCACCAGTCACATGTGTCAGGGTCGTTAGAGTAGCTCCACTTCCACATGTTGAGACACATGGTCCTATCGTGACACAAGAAGACGCACAGACATGCTCCCTGCTGTTGCAGTCTGTTTTCCAGCTAAGACAGATTATGCTACTTTGTGTTCTCAGATTGACAAAAAGGCGATGAAGAAGGCCGGCATGCTGAAGAGGGTCCGGAATGAGGTGGAGATCCACTGTCAGCTCAAGCACCCTTCAGTTCTTGAGGTGCCCATACCTCTCATAATACAATGTGGATCTACATATCATCTGAATATAACTGCATCTCAAGAAGATGGAGCATTGACATGGCCCATCGGTAGCACGTTCGCCGCTTGATGCAGAGGTTCGCGGTTCCAGTCTATCAAACTGTAGACGTATTAACTCGGATTCAAAGTGAGCGTCATTCAAAAACGAGTAGGCCATTGTGTGCTGTGGGGTCATAGGTTTAAAAAAAATACTCGCAAATGACTTGCTTGGGAAACATAGCAGCATTACCCTGTCCTGTGGAAATGTAGACAGGACTCTCCTAAAAACGAGTCTTGAGACTCAGGATTTCCTGGGTAAAGAATAATAATGTTATTGAAACAGTGTAACATGCACATCATGTACACTAGATAGTAAATTCTAGAGATGAGACAGTCCTAGGCAGAAGGGAGGGGAGTCAAAAGCACATTGCTGGAGGGACAGAGTTGCCATAATACAAGCTCACACATGCTTCATGTGTCCGTGTCAAAGCTTGGAAGCACTTTACAGGGTTAATTCTTCATGAGAACATTCATGATATGTCATTTTTAAATCAATGATTTAGTTCGTGACTGTTCATGTGGCCTTAACAAGGACGTGTGTGTTTCCGCTTTGTCCAGTTATACACGTGCTTTGAGGACCAAAACTATGTGTATCTGGTGCTGGAGATGTGCAACAATGGGGAAGTAGGACGCTATCTCAAGGCCAAGGGAACGCCTTTCTCTGAAGAGCAAGGTGAGACTCATCCACATGTTTAACTTGACCTCACTGCCTTCACCAACCCGCATACTGACCAGCCTAGTGAAGTACGGACAAATAACCAGCATGCCCCCTCTAGACGTGGAGATGCTGTTATCCAGCAATTGATTGACAAAACGGTTGTACCGTGACTTAGACTGCAAAAGTTTGCTTGCTTGCTCATGCTGGCGGAAGGGCCTCTATGAGAGGGAGATATTGGGGTATCTGGTCTTATTTTTTTCACTTTTACCAGACGTGCTAATTTACAGTTGGTCGACAGGTCGTGGTTGGTAGATTAACATATGGGTACATTCGCCTCTTCCTATGTGTCTGGTCAGTATGAAAGAGTAAACCAAATTCTCTCGAGTTCACTGTAGTGGAGGTCCTTCTGCAGTAGTGTGAACTTTTAACGATATGAATCAGTGGTTGACTGGCAAGTTTGTGGACACTTAAATCAATCTTTACTTTATGTGCTAAAATCGCCTTCAATAAAGTAGGCTTTGAGTTGTCAATTATTAGTTGTCTTAATCGAGTTATCCCATCTGCTTAGTGCGCCACTTCATGAAGCAGACGGTGCATGGGATGCTGTACCTGCACTCCCACGGAATCCTCCACCGGGACCTCACGCTTTCAAACCTCCTACTCACGGCCGACATGAACATCAAGATTGCCGACTTTGGTCTCGCTGCTCAGCTTCGGCTCCCGGAGGAAAAGCACTTCACCATGTGCGGCACACCCAATTACATCTCCCCAGAGATTGCCACCCGCGGGGCACATGGGTTGGAGTCAGATGTCTGGTCGCTCGGGTGTATGCTGTACACGATGCTGGTATGTGTGCGTGTATGACTACAGACATGTTAAAAATCTGGTTGTTAGAACCAGTTTCTTTTGCATTCCTGCAATTGCATGAATAAAACTGGTAAAAATATCTTGCCACACAATCTATCAGTAAACATAACATTTTCACGTTTTTAAGGAGGAATATAAGGGACCTGCCACAGTGGAATAATGGTCGGCACACTGGACTTGCCATCCAGAGGTCGCCCGTTTGATTCAGTCTTGGGGCTAGGCAGTTGCAACCAGGAGGCAAGTTTCTTAAATTCCCCAATCTCTCTCCACTGAGAAGTATACGTGGTTACACCACCCTAAGTTGCTCGCCAGGCAACTTGTGGTGGGTTAAAGTGTGGCTATGCCCACCTCTTGATGATGTCTGGTCAGCATGGAATAAGCGACCAATTAATAGTGACAACTTGTATCGTGCCATTGCAAGGGCACTGAAATTCTCTCCAGGGCTCTCTGTAGGCCCTTCTGGTAGCCGTGACGTGAGCAAGCAAGCAACTGCAGTGCTGTACCTTTATCTTTTAACTGAGAAAGAAAGGCAAATTATGTACCACACTGACTTTGGCTGCTGTGCCGTTTGTACTTTGCAAGTGCCAATTGATGCCCTCATTACTCGATTTCCAATGTAAGCTATTTCTGACTTTCAGAACTGGTGATTGTTATTAAAATGGTTACTGGTTTACCGGCTATCGTTTAACAACCCCAAAAAATGCAAATATGGATAACTTAACATTTAATACATCTGGTTTGGCCACAATGATCGAGCTGAATGTCATTAAGACACTCCGCCACCCGACATGTGCCAATTTTTGTTTCATCTCACTGGTAAATTGGAACAAAAAAAATACCAAATTGTAGGTTTTGTTTGAAACTACATCAAACATCAAGACAAGATCCAAGAAGTAAAAATTATAAGGAAGTCAAAATAACCATGTGATGTGGATGGTTGGGTTTTTGTTTGTTTGTACAGGTGGGGCGGCCGCCGTTTGACACGGACGCGATTGGAACAACGCTAAACCGCGTGGTACTGGGAGAGTACAGTGAGCCGATGCACCTCTCCAAGCCGGCGCGCTCCCTCATCCACCAGCTGCTCCAGAAGAACCCAGTGGACCGGCTTGGTTTGGCCTGCGTGCTTGACCACCCCTTCATGGCTTTACGTGGTGCCAGTAGTAGAATGACCACAGAACGCGGAGTGATCCGCTCACATCCAATGACGGTGAGCAGTATTTCCTCCACTGCTGTGTCATACAGAGGCTTTTGTGCGTGTCACACGTTATTATTCACCTTCACTCCTTGTTTACTCAGGAAAGCCTCTCGTTGCTCCTGTGATTGCCTTTTCAGAAATTCAGGCTCAATATTAGATCATTTTACACATTTTATTTTGATACTTGTTTACCCAGGAAAGCCTCACTGAGCTTTAATACTTTTTCCGGAGGGTCCGGCTAGCATTTTGCAAGAGGGCTTGATGATTGTTATGCGTTTCCCAATTATGGAATGCTTGGGTAATGTTTCAATTTGTGCAAATATGGACCATGTCTAGTCAACTGCTGAGCCACCTGCCTGGATATTGTTTAAAACCATAAATACGAATCTTGGAATGTCTTGTGTTACCAGATTATCACATTAATGTTGTGCTGTGTTTAGTCCCAAGGAGTGGAGGTGTCGATGGACAGTGGCAACACCACCATGTCCACTGCAGCAGTAACCGTGGAGAGATCCCGGTCCGGCGCACGTTTGGTGAGTAGTAACAGGGAAACGTCTGCCCAGGCATCACAGTCTGCGACCAGCTTCGGATTCGATGACGCGTTCCGCAGTACCTGCACCAGTGGGTTGGGTGGAGTGGAGGGCAGCGTGTGTCGCTCGGAGACGTCTTGCCGGAGCGAGAGAGACCGTAACGGCGACCACAGCACTCGCACTGGCAGTCGACCGGGACATACCAACGCACGGAGTACTGGCAGCGGCATCAGCACGAATATGCGGAGGGGAACCGATGACCGCCAAGCAAAGACAGATGTAAGGTGCCCAAGCCACACTGGAGCCCGCGAACCCGTCATCACAGCCAGCACAGAGAGCCAGCGTTACGCTCAGAAGTTTGTGCAGCATGGCCTGGGCTCGACGCGCGCCGGCACCGCACCCCGAGCGGAGACTGAACAGCCCAGTGGCTCGCGGCACGAAGAGCGCGGTAACGTGTGTGGGAGTTTGGTGGGGCGGAACACATCCTCTTCTCACTCCGCCCTCTGCACCAGGTACCCTGAGGACTTCCTGACACACACACGCATTGAGCACGGGCATCGGCATGGATGTACGGAGGGGACTTTGTAATCAGAATCTGTATTTAGACTTGAGGAATCTGATGAGCTGTGAAGCTGTTTCAGCCAGGAAAGCCTCGCTGAGTCTCAAGACTCTTTTGCAGGAGGGTCCTGCGAGGTTTTTGGCGCAGGAGGCAATGATTGCTATGTCTTTTCCAATTCAGTAATTTGCGGTGTAGTTTTAAAAACTTGCACATTTTGACCATGGCGAGTCACTCAACTGCTTTGCCACCCGGCCAGATATTGTTTCAAACCATAATCACACGTATTATGGGTCTTTCGGTAAAGTCACATAAATAGAACAATAAAATAAAAATGAAAACAAAAAGTGAATACAAAAAATCACGACGTTTCGATCGCAACACAAGCAATCATCATCAGGAGAAAAAAAGAAGGGGGAGAGAAGCTGAGGTAGGCTGTTTTAAAGGTTTGAAATGGGTGTAACCCAAGGGTCATAAACGAAGTGGGCGGGGCTATGTCGATCTAAACGGCGGCTGTGTTAGTGTGAACCTGTTAATATGAAATCAGAGAGTCGAAAATAACTGCCAACATCGGAAGGTAGGATGGAAACATCACAGCCAGTTATGACTTAAACTGGTTAATAACGTCCTTCCAATGATTGCTCAGTTTGTACCCATTTTCTCGGCTGAAATTGTGTCTGTGTCTAGATATCTGGATGGCTTCATGAACAAATCTTTGTTGATAGCCAGTGGGTTTGCAGAGTACCTTCGTCTTGGAGAAATCAATTTCGTGTGAGCCCACCGCATTAAAACAATGATCAGCGACGGCTGAAGTATTGGTCCTACCGTTTTTCAGATCTGCCTTATGTTCACGAATACGGTCCGAGACATGTTTCTTAGTTTCCCCAATGTAACTACTGCCGCAGGCACAGCTTAGTTTGTAGACGCCGGGGTATTGCATGTCATGGATCACATCCTTCACAGATGGGATCAGATCACGAATTTTATGCACTGTGTTAAATCTAACCTGGATCTTGTGTTTGCTCATGATTTTGGAAATCTTTTTGGTGACCCCTGCTATGTATGGCAAGGTGATGGTTTTGATTGGGTCCTCAGATGCTTCTTTCCCAATGGTTGGGGTGATAGCTTTACGGATTGTGTAGTCTGAATATCCATTCATCTTGAGGGCTTGGTGTATGTTCCAGTTCACTGGCTAGGTGGTGATGGTCGGAAATACGAGCTCTGGTGTAGAGTTTTGATGAGGGAATTCTTCTGGGATGGATGGTAGTGGGAGTCAGGTTTTAGGTAGGCATCTGGTTTCTTTTCGATTAAAACATCCAAGAATGGTAACTTGCCATCCTTTTGCACCTCCATGGTGAATTTGATGGCTGGGTGTATGGAATTTATGTGGTTGAGGAATTGGTTCAGAGCTGGTAGGGCCATGTGGCCAGATGACAAACGTACCTCTTCCACAAGGACGGACGTAAAGTGGATGCCTGAATGGCATCTGTCTCAAATTTTTCCATGAAAACATTGGCTACAACTGGAGATAAGGGATAACCCATTGGGGTACTTTCAACTTGTTTGTAGAATGTTCCACTCTTGGTGAAGTAAGTGTTGGTGAGGCAGTGTCTAACCAGGGCTGGTACATCAGCATTCAGTCTTTGTTGGACCAAATTTTCAATGATTGCAATGGTGTCAGGCACAGGAACTTTGGTAAAAAAGATGCTACATCGAAACTAACGAGCAAATCACCTGGAGATAGTGAGATGTCCTTAATTAACGATACCAAGTGAGCTGAGTTAAGTACGGCTGAGGTGGTCTTACCAGTGAATGGTTTTAAGGTCTCAGACAGAAATCGGGCCAGTGACTTTACCGAAAGACCCAAAGATTATGAATTCCTGCAGTCACGAAAGCTTTAAGTCAAGATTCATAATTAAACGTTTTATTTTTATTAATTAAAATATTTCACCTGGAAAATCTTTAGAGATGGAACATCTTATTACAAGGATGTCCAGGGCAGATATTGACAGCAGACACGTGATAACACATGTGCAATAAACACACAAACTCGCATGCGTCATGTGACTAGCTTGAAAAAACGTCAAGCTGCCAGCAGTTAACAGTACGATCAAAGTTGTGATGGCTAGAGAGATAACGTTTTTTTATTTGAGCGAGGCTATTATAAGAGCTTGGGAAAAGAGATGACCAGAGGAATAATGGGAAGGAAAGTAAACCAGTGCGAGGGAAGAAGAATAAAGAAAAATGTTGTGATCTGCAGTGTGGTGAGGTGGGTCGGTGCGAGTGAGTGTGTTGTTATGACCTGCAGTGTGGTGGTTGAACAACTTGTATTAGATGAAAAAATGTCTGGTAGACAGTCCTCATGGGTGGAAGGATCAATAAGTAAAGCTTTTTGTGCTTAAATGTGTATGTTTATGCATATTTACTAAGTGTTTATAAGGATGCACGGCTGGTGCAATGTCTTTGACAGGGAATGTCACCAGTCACTCATGTCAGACAGAGTGGATGGGGATCGGCTGTGGAGCAACAACGCCTGCTTGGATCTAGGTGAGTTGTGGTTTCACATGTTCTAAGTCTCATCAGAAGTCGTAGAGTCACATTGTTTATCTTGTGAAATCTTCAAAAATATTTTTTAATCCAGCCAAGAGGCTCAAACAGTAGAGCGAGCGGCACACAGTCAGAACTGATGTGTGTTAATATCCTGGTTTGGGGTGTTACTTGGTCCATCGACTCTCCAGAGTTGATACAATTAGTACCACTTTATGGGGAAGACCACCGTGGTTGTTTTATGGATAGACTAAGGGTTGTAAGCATGGGATGAGCACCACCTGAATGCTCATTTGAGCAGGAAATTACTTTACCTTTAATTACAAAAAATGAAAAGTAAATCAACAGCCCCTTTTGGCACTCCACTGCTGGATGAGGGCTTCCCCAAACCCTGCAAGTTGTTGGTTTTTTTTTTAACATACTTCAGAGCACTCATCAGTGCGGGTTGGTGAAGGTGTTGAGAATAGACATTGGAGCTTAGTACAGGACAACAATTGATTTTACAGCACTTCCCTCTGGTGACATAATTCTGCTGCAGCTTATAACACCTGTTGCATATGTGTTGGTCACCCATCCAAGCACTCTCCAGGCTCAAACCTTGCTTGGCTTCCAGGATTTGATGAGATGGGACACGTTCTGGTTTTTTAAAGTAAAAACGATTACATAGAATTATTATTTACATCATTGTGGAGAATATAAATATAAAATAATATTTTACACATTTCATCAGCCACACAGCCTTCTAGGAGTGTATAATTCCAATGGCATATTTTCAGCACAAGCAAACTCAACCAGTTTGAACCTTCTTGGTCTCATCAGCAGTCAGGCTTGCTTGAATTATTTCATTAATTGATAATTGATTAATTGATATGGGATTTTGCAGCCTTTATTCACCATAGATTTTTGAGTTTGGCCACAGTGATTTTATTAAATTATGTTAGAAGACCCGACATGGCCAAACAATTAAAATTGTCACGTGTACAAGCATTTAATGCGCTAGTTGTTACTGTTTCAGCTCATCAGTAATTTCAAGAACAATTCTCACAAACCAAATTTAGCAATGTAAGCATTTTTCTTGAACTTCCCAGCGTGATAACACAATAATAACACTGGTCTACAGCCAAAATGCTTCTGAAATAAATGTAGCCCAACTTTACTAACTCTGGGTCACTGAGAATGAAAATGATGCTTAAAATTGTTGATTGGTTCTAGTTTTCAAGATATGCTACTGGGTCAGTATATACGACCCTTGACTTGAGAATTGCGGAGGATAAGTGAGTTATAAAGGGAAGGGATCTCAATTTAAACCAGAAATTACTCAAATATATCTTGGACTGGATCTGTGAATAAATCTACGACTGGGTTTGGACTGTACTTGCTTTTTGAGCAAAACAATGAATGATGCAATTTGAACCTGGTATTGCATCATACATGATATGAATTGCAACATGTTATTCCTAGAAGTCACGGATGATGCAGTCATAACTAGGCTTACATCCCTCTGCTGAACAAATTTCCCTATATCAGCTCTAGAAATCATACAGTGTCGTGCTCTCTTATTTGACAGTGTTTGATTTTGCAAAGGGACACATTTCTGTTTCGCCAAAGTGAGCAAAGATGTCTCGTACTTGTGTGAACAAAGCAGATAACTTCTGCTATGTTTGTGGTGAAGTGACTTTTGCATCACAAAAGCACAGTATAACCACTATGGTTAAGAAATCCTATCACCTTTATTTTGGCTGCAAAATTGGAGATCAAGACAAGATGTGGGCCCCGCACATATGCTGCAACACTTGTGCAACAAATCTTCGCCAGTGGTTGAACAGGAAAGGGAAATCTATGCCTTTTACAGTGCCAATGATTTGGAGAGAGCCAACAGATCATATCAGCAATTGTTGCTTCTGCATGGTGCCTCCATTTGGGAAAGGTGTGTCAAAGAAGAAAAAGTGAACTGTGCATTATCCAAACATTCCATCAGCTATGTGCCCAGTACCCCATGGAAAAGGACTGCTGGTTCCTGATGCACCAGAATCAATCTCACTTCAGTCAAATGAGGAAGAGGATGAAACTTCTGGTCCTGCACCATCAAGGTCACATGACCCAGATTTCCCCCCATCCTCTTCCTCTGAACCACAAGGTGAACTTGAAGACCTTGTCAGGAATTTGGAACTACCTAAGAGTAAGGCAGAGCTGTTGGGCTCCAAACTGCAGCAGTGGAATCTCCTGGCAGGTGATGTTAGGGTTTCCATGTTCTGTGATCGTCAAAAGAATCTTGTCCCATTCTTCTTAGCCTGCAACAACATCGATGGTGTGATGGCAGCCCTCAACATCGTTCATGATCCAGATGAATGGAGACTGTTCATTGATTAATCGAAAATGAGTCTTAAAGCTGTGTTGCTGCATAATGGCAATGTATTGCCATCAATTCCAGTTGGTCATGCAGTCCCTATGAAGAAAACCTATGACAACATGAAACAACTTTTGAGGTGCATAAACTATGGCCAACATCAATGGCAGCTTTGTGGCGATTTGAAGGTTGTTGCTCTCTTGCTTCGTCTGCAGACTGGATACACAAAGTACTGCTGTTTTCTCTTCGAATGGGATAGTCGTGCGAGAGCTTACAACTACATCAAGATAGATTGGCCACTCGGATAGTCATTGGAGCCTGGGAGGAAAAGTGTTCAGCATCCACCACTTGTTGAATCAAGGAAGATTTTGTTACCACCCTTACACATCAAGCTGGGTGTGATGAAGAACTTTGTCAAAGCCATGGACAAAACACAAGCAACTTTCCAGTACCTCCGTGGAAAATTTCCAATGTTTAGTGAAGCTAAGACAAAAGAAGGTGTCTTTGTTGGTAGTCAGATTCTTGAACTCCTTCGAGAGGATCCATTTGACAGTACACTGCGTGGCAAGGAAAAGACGGCATGGAAAGCCTTTCATTTGCAACAAATTTTCTCGGAAACAAGGCAGACAACTACAGGGAGTTGCTGGAAAACCTCCTTAAGGCATACAAAAGCCTTGGTTGCAACACATCATTAAAGATATATTTTTTGCAATCTCATCTAGATTTTTTCCCACCGAACTGTGGAGCAGTGAGCGACGAGCATGGCGAGCCATTTCACCAGGACATTGCAACAATGGAAAAACTATCAGGGCAAATGGAGCCCATCAATGCTTGCAGACTATTGCTGGACTCCATTTAATGAATACAAAAGAAAAGCCAACAAGCGCCGAGTAAACACTGAATAAGGACTAAACTATGTACTTATAATAGTTTTTTGTCTTTTGTTTCATAGTAATTTTTATTTATTTAACCCTTTTGCTGATTTTTTTGTGTTACATGAACAGGACAAGTGACGTTATCATGTAAAGCAACCATAAACACATGAAAAGACCTAGGTTTACAATTTATGAGTAAAACTCTACTATCTATACAATATGATGTAAAATGTTAACTGAAATATCTTGAACAGCCAATCGGTTGTTTTAATTGTCATATTTGAATTCAACACATCAAAATCCATAATAAACAGCACATTTCATCTTTGAAGCAGATGACGTCTAAAAAATTGTAGAACAGTGTAATTGGCACATTCAAATCTTGTTTAGGTGGAAATTTAATTTGTTTGGTAGTGTTGGATAGTTGGTGGGTCTCATTAGACAATTTTGGCCAGATCATGTTCTAACGCAGAGATCAATTATGAATTAATGTATTAGATGATTAATTAATCACATTGTAGTGTTAGTTTTGTGTGGGTACCCGCTAACCGTTCACGTGGCTTTTCAGGCCGGATAGCAGACACGGCGCTGTGTGAGCAGCACAGCTCACAGTCTGGCTGCCAAGGCCGCAACGTGGCGGGAGAGGCCCATGGGCCCTGGGGGGGATGCCAAACCACGGCGGCCTCCCGGGACCACGGGGAGGATGGCAGGGAAGCACGGTGGGAGGGGGTGGCACCTGCGCTACCCAGCCACAGCGGCAGGCCGTTCACAGTGGCACCATGCGGTAGTGGCGGTGGGACCAGTGATGGAGGTGACGCTTTGCAAGGAACGAATCGCTCGTCTGTGTTCGTGGGCTGCGCTGCTACCCCATCGAGTGGCACTGCTGGTGGTAGAGGTGGTTGTGGTGTGGCCTCCCAGCCACACTGCCATGGAGCCACAGATCCCCGGCACTACCCTCCGGCAAGGGGACTCATTCAGAAGCAAGCAGACGCTCGGCGTGGACAAGGGGTTGAGAGACGAGCGGACACGCAGGAGACACAGGCACACTGGCCCTCGGACGATGTCATGCCGAAAGATGGCAGTGCAGGGCGTAACGTTATTAGCCACGTCACGTCGCCTCTCAACAGCATCCGCCTGCGGCCAATTCGGCAGCTCACGAAGAACGCGGTGGTGAGTTGGTGGTCTCGACATAGCTGAGAGCATTATATATACAGGGTGGTAGTCACATGGCATGCAAGTCATAAAACTAAACCCTTTCTGAGAGTGATACGAAAATTCCTCATCATAATAATATAATGCTTGCAGGTGGGAGACAATTTATAAATACAAGTTGGATATATGTATGTATTTTGAACTTCACACTAGGTAGCCAACAATGCTAATCGGAGGTGCTCAGAAACAGTAGGAAGAAAGGTACAACTCCCATCCATATGCCTTGCATGCATGTCATGTAAACAATAATATGGCCAGATGTTTAGCTCTTCTGAGCTGGTGGATTCGACAAGGCTGACAGAATTGTACATGCAATGTGGTGGTCACAAGACATGCCTGCATGACATATGGATGCGAGTTGTACCTTCCTGCTGTTTGTAAGCAGCACAGCTTTACAAGTTGTTAAATGTAATGCATACAGCTGCATCAAGTTAATTTTGTCTGGTAACGAATTGTGTTTTGGTTAGGTGAGCGTGCTGGAAGATGGAGAGGTGTGTCTGGAGTTCCTGAAGGGGCGGAGTGGGCGGGAGCGAGTGCGGGAAGTTCTGCGTATCTCCAGTGATGGGCAGCAGGTGTGTGTGTGTGGAGTGCAAACGCGTACACACTGAGTTGAATATAAACCAGGAGTTAATAATGTTTCTGGATTATGAAGAATTTCCTGGAATTGTTAATTTGTTATGAAATAGGTAATGCCTACGTATCCCATCGACATCTTATCAGCTTTATTGCTTCAATACAAGCAAGCTCGGGACCTGTTTTAACATTCAGTCTCATCAGCAGTCAGGTTTGAATCATTGCTGGATAACTGTGTAATGTTTAAAGGCTTAATCATTATTTTGTGTCATTGTTATGGTCATGTGTCTTTATGTAATGGTCCATTTACCTGATAACCCTTATTTAGAGGTTTGGTAAAGACCATATAAGAATTCCCCTGAGCCATAGCAAGCATTTCATGTTACCTGCAACTTGTTAATTGCTCTAATAAGTTAATGGTGATCTGTGCAGTCCTGTAAGAGTAGTCCAGGTTCTGAGGCAAGATGAGCCATTCACAAGTAGAGACATCATCATGAACTCTGGGGAGAGGTGTGTGTTTACATAACTTGGAGAAATGTCTTCGTCAGATCCGCCTCTATCAGCCCAACGAAGGTCGAGGCTTTCCCCTGGACGACCGGCCTTCATCACCCCCAGAGGAGGTCGTTATCTACTCCTATCACACACTTCCAGGTAAAACGACACACACACACCTCACTCATGGGTCCGAGTATCAGCCGACCTCGTTGACTCGCCCACCTGCACAGTTACCCAGCCACCCAGCCAGAAAACCACCCAACCAAATCCACCCAGCTACGCAGAGGGATATGAAAAATGTGCACCATTGTTTAATCTACCACACAGAGTGGCATTGAATCCGTAACTTTTGGATTGCGAGTCCAGTGCCCTAACCATTATACCACAGCAACTCCAGTATCTGAGTAGAAATGTGAGTGGCACTGCCCTGGCCACACGTGGCTGTACAGTTGTAACTGATGCCTATGTCGAATTGTGCGTGCGCTGTGTCCCGTCTTGCCGCTAGAGCCCTACTGGAAGAAGTACAAGTACGCTGCTAGGTTTGTGCAGCTGGTGCGCTCCAAGACGCCCAAGGTGACGCTCTACACCCAGCATGCCAAGTGCACGCTCATGGAAAATTCTCCTCAACCGGACTTCGAAGCTTGCTTCTACGATGGTAGGAGGTGGTGTTTTTGTTTACACTATCTAACTGAGGTTAAATAGTTATTTATATGTTTCTGTAATGCAGGGGCACAGTAACTCTCGTAATGATCCAAAAAAAAATATATTGTCATTATAAAGTTGTGTTGCTAACAAGAATGTATACTTTATTAAACCTGGACAAATTGATCGAAGGGTTAACCCATGGCTTCCCTTGGCAGAGCCACTATCCGTGCCCTGTTGTGTCATCACGTTCTATAGCCGTACTGCCTCATGCATGCCTAGCGCAAACAGTACAGTTATCGCTAATTATAAACTTCCCAGGACAAAACGCATGTTTGAAAGTGAAATAAAATCCATGCACTTGCAAGATTTTTCTTCCTTGTTCAAAATCAGTTTTTGTATTGAAATGGCTCAAGGAAATTGTGGGTGGGGATTTCTCAAGTTCTTTAAAAGTATAGTTAATAATTTCCTGCTCAAATGGTTATTGAGGTGGTGTTCATTGCCAGTTTACAGCATTGAGCCAGTGGTGGAAATGTATTCCTATGACAGGGGAGAGTCCCTCCATTGGACAACCAGTGTCGAATTTCATGCAAAGCAGTAATAGTTTTATGGACCCTGAAGGGATTATGGTCCGAACCCACAATCAGGGTTTGAACTTGCAACCTTACGATTGTGAGCCCATCGCTCTACCACTGAGCGAACTGGCTGTTGAAAAAAGTATGATTGCTGTATAGAAACAATGAGCTGCGCAGGAGCAGTTGTAGTGTCACTTTGGTATGAGACCCGCTCACGTGAGCTTACAAGAGTTTTCTCGATTCTCGTCAGGAGCCAAGGTTCACCGGGGTGGTGAAGCAAGCATGCGTGTGATTGAGCCCTCCGGCAGGCTCAGCGTGCTCGATGGCTCTGTGGCCATGGATGGAGTGGGGGCGGCCGAGGGAGTGAGGACGTACTTGTGTCACGCAGAGCAAGTGAGCACCTCCACCATCACCCACAGATGTTTGTGTTTGATAGTGTAAAGACGACTTGACACACTTCTCTGGAGATGGCACTTTATTGAAGACACGTTCACTTGATACAGGCGGAGACCCCACTGTAACTGCCCTGAATCTCCCACGCATCTCCCTTATATACGGACCGAGGCCACGCCCCCCTTCCGAACCTTCTCGCTGACTCTGGACGCTCGCTCCACCAGCAGATTCTACCGTCCTCTTCCGTCACCTGACCGCGCTCCCTTCTCGATCATTCCCGTAGCCACCAGTCCCTTTGCACTGTAGGCTGACTCCCCTGTCATTACCTCCCGTGGCCACTAGTCTACTCACACCGCACGTAGACTCTCCTGTCATTACAATAGCATAGCTTGGCTGTGGAATGCTGGACGCAGGCCTGCCCAGAGGGAGAGTGATTTGCCCAGGGCCTCGCACAAAGGAGGGCCCCACTATGGGCCTGATTTTTGTTGATAATGATTAAAGGGCCCCCACACGTGGCATTTTGCTCAGGGCCTCCAGGAAACTGGGAACCCACGCTGGACAAATGCTCTCATTCATTGTCATTAATTGTGGCAAAGTAATTGTTATTTATCTTGGATGTTCAACATAGCATATGACCAATCTAATTTAAAATCTCGTCGACATATTGGCCACTTGATTAAACAGTGGCTTGGATTATCACGGTACATTTGAATGTCACCTATTTAATGTTTTTCTTTTTAAGGCCACATTGGTTATTATTACACTGATTATTATTATTATTACTTGTTATTTTTACTTGTGCACCACTGACAAATCATTATCTACAAATAACGTTTTTATTTAATAAATTTCGTGTGTATGGCTGAGCCAGGTGTACAGGCAGTGTGTGGCACTGGAGGCACTGATCTTGGCACAAGAAGACAAGTGTCACCCCAGCATCTCCCTCTTCCCAATCACAGTCTCCAGGTGGGCCCTCGCACTGTCATCTAAGGGCAGCAGCGTGGTGCAATGGTAACACTTGTGCCTGACAGCAAGAAGGGCCTGGGTCTATTCCTGACTCAGGTGCATTTCTGTGTGGAGTTTGTATGGTTTATTGCATGGGTTTATTCCATGTTCTCCTATTTTGTTACCTCGCCTGGTATCCAGGTGGTTGCGGCACTTGACTGATGTGATTCTACAGCTGTGCTGATATACTGTGGTGTTACTCTTTGGTTCTTTCGGTAATGAGTAATTCCTGCAGTCACGAAAGCTTCAAATCAATTGTATACTCTGGTGTGTTTGCTCTATGTAACACAGGATAATTTCCTTTTGTTCTTCCACCCATTAACCCCCCTGCCAGGCGCCCCTTATACATTGTGAATCACCTACCAGCAGAGTCAGCGTCCCCTGCTACCCAAGAGGGGGTCACAAGGATGGTCCAGCCCCCCTCTCCCAGCCAAGCGCCGACCCTCACCCCCTCTGTACGTGAGCCCCACGGCGTGTGGTTCCTTGCTTCTGCCACACCCTGTACAACACCGACGTGTACAAATGCTAGACAGCTGAGCACAGGGCCAAAGGCCCAAATTGTCAAGTGGTCAGCAACAAGCAGCATTATTAAAGTTATAATAGAGAAGAGTGTAACACGTTTCCTTATTTGTGCAAGGTTATTATAAGAGCTTAAGAAATGAGACGAAAGGACAATTACAAAGTGGGGCAGTGCGAGGGAAGGAGCAAAAAGAGAAATGTTTTGACCTGCAGTGTGGTGGGTGGGTGAATGAGTGTGTGGGTGAATGGGTGGGTGATTAAAGTGTGTTGTTGTGATCTGCATTATGGCAGTTGAAGAGTGTGGATGAGACAAAACAGTCAGTCTGGTAGACGGAGTCCTCATTATGGTGGAGGAAACATGTTAAGCCCATAGGAACTGTATCCATGGTAGTAGTAATCGAAAAGTGATAAGGAAGGCGACTGATCGCCAGTGAGTGAGTAAATTAGTGAATTCTGGAACATTATTCAACCCGACTGCTTTGTTGAAATCAAGCGCAGTTCCGTCAATGCAGGTTGTATTGCATACAGCTCCATCTGTTATCATTGTTGTAGGACTATCTCGCTATTGTCATTGCATCTCACGCTTTCAGATGCACTTCTGTGGCTGTCTGGAACGCTCTTCCAATATTAGGAAGCCACTTTTAAATCTAAATTGAAAACTAATTTCTTTATAACTGCGTTTTGTGTTTAGTTTGCTATCTATCCCCCGCACCTCCAATGAGCATGATTGGCTACTTATGTTTGTTGAACTTCTTTTGCACATTACTGGAGTTTGTGTGATGGTTTATGCTCCTTGACGAGCTCAGCAAGGTATTGTGGCAAGCAGGTTGTGTGTAATGAGTGCAACCTTACAATGTATTATTTCGGCAACCAGAAGCCAAAGCAGCTCAGCAAGCACTGGACATAGTCGGATCCATCTAGTGCTTGTTGAGCTGCATTGGCTTCCGGTACAGTGTGAAATAAGTTCAAAAGACATATATACATATGTAACCAAGTAGAGTTGAGCACGACTTCCGGTCTCGCTTGTTGTTTCTGCAGATGCTGTTGTTTGACGGGAAGGCCATGTCGGAGGCCTCGAGTCCCGTGTCGCTGGGCGATTCGTCGGCGTGTGGCCGTGTGGAAGTTGTCCGCTCCGTGTTCGTGCCGCTCGTCGGCTGGGCCTCACAGGTGAACACTCCACTCCCTGTGTAGACACAGCGTTGCATATCCATGCTCAGCTGTGCTCATGGATGAAGGGGGGGAGGGTGCAAACAAGGACAGTTGCTTCCACACCCCCCCCTCCCTCCCTTTGACAGCTGTTGTATGTCATAGACCCGTTCTTCTCAACCCAATGGTTGTGCCCCCTGTGAAGGTTTTTTTGTGGAGGGCTATGTATTTACAAATTGCCCCCTCTAAAATGGTCTGTTTGTAAACAAACCGTCATTGGAGTAGTCCAGCAATCAAGGGGAGAGCTAAGACAAGATAATGGGATTTTGTGAGGGCAGAAGTCACTGTATTTACAGCACAACCACTGTGGGATCTGGCGTAGAGTAGAGAGGTGGCAGTAAAGAGGTGTGGTGGATGTCTCGATCTTCATCATCAGCCAGACTGCCCTGAGAAACGACAGGCCATGCTGGTGGAGAAATGGAGAGTGAAATCACGCACATGTGTGGTTGTTTGCTATATAACATGTCGTAGCAAGTACTGACACTTTCTTTTCCGGTGTTGTTGCGGTGGTCAGTTGGCATCAGGCGAAGTGTGGGTGCACTTTAACGAGGGCTGCCGGATGCAGGTGCATCCCACCGCCGCTTCCATCGCATTCACCGACTCCCTCGGAGTCACCAGCAGGTCAGCCACGTTCCCAACAACTCCTGCAACACGCACTAAACGTGTCACAACCTGAGCAGGGGATGGTGTCTTCACTTTAAGGGAAGCTGGATAGCCATTGAGTGGCATCCAAGGATGGAACGCGCCCAAGAGAACGTGCACCGATGAGATGGAGTGCAGAATTGTGAGAGGGTGACACTGGCTTGGGGAGGGTTTCATCGAGCAGTAGATTGGTGGTTGATGGTTGGCCAAGTCAAAGTGATTTCCTTCTTGAATGAACATCGAGGTGGTTGCTCATCTCTTTGTACTGCCCTATAGAGCCAGTGGTGATTTTTTTTTACATTCCTGTGGTGGGTGACTGTCCATAAGTCATCCACTGTAGACTTCATCACAAAGTGGAGCTCATATCATCTCTGGAAGAATGATCGACTAAGTCAATCCCTCCAAACCAGGATTTGAACTCGCAGCCTTTCAATTGCTTGCCGCTCTTTCTACCAGAGCCACCTGGCAGATAGCTACGTAGTTCACTCATTCTCAGGCTTTCACCCTAACACTTCTGATTAATGTGCTTCAGCAATGGGAATTGTATTAATTGCTTCCAAGCATCCCAGTGCTTGAACGTTTCAGTGGCCCTCCCCCTGCCCAGCTTTCACCCTAACACTTCTGATTAATGTGCTTCAGCAATGGGAATTGTATTAATTGCTTCCAAGCATCCCAGTGCTTGAACGTTTCAGTGGCCCTCCCCCTGCCCAGCTCGGATTTTTCTGCATGCAGACCGCCACAGGGTGGTGGTTGAGTGGACACAGGGCCACCTTGAAGTTTCTGGAGGCCTGGGGCAGAATGTCACGTGCAGAATGGGGGGTGGGGCGGTGGTGGGAGTGGGGACCCCTTTCTTCCACGATCCACAGGCCCTGTTGTGCGGTTCCCTTTTTTGTGAGCCCCGGGGTAAATTGGCCCTGAGTGGATGCTGATGTGCCTCTGGCAATGCGTGTGCAATACAGGTTCTCCCAGAAGGATCAACTCCCTGAGCAGCTCAAGGACCGGCTGCAGATCTTGCCGAGAGTTGTGGAGTTGCTGGCGACGTCGGGGCTGGGAGCCGGCGCCACCTCCACTCATGACACCACAGGAAACGCTGGGTCAGGCATCCTGCCAGGCTCGAGAGCGACAGGGAGGACACGCGGGCGATGTGGTGGACATAGGCTCTGAGCCGTCGTTGTGGTGTGCCCAAGGCTTACATTTCTCACTGCTGAAAATGTCTGGTCACTGGTGGATAAGGGTATACACATGACTAGTAGCCATGGAGAAAGGTGTACTGAATGTGGTGGACCATGTGTGGAAGTATATTTCAAACCTGGCTGAAAATAAGTCGTACGTGAGGCCAAAAATCATTCGGTCTTGCAAAGCCTCTTGTGCCAGTGCGTGCATGTGGCGATGCATGAGGGTGCACGGGAGAGGCGCAACCGCTGCTTGCATTTGGCATCTCCTGGAATTTGCTGATGGAATGTTGTCATCTATTTAGGTGCAGTACTGGTTTTAAATAAAGGGGCATTAACTCTGGTGCTTTAAATCAGCTACAATGTGGCTACTCATTCAGTTTGTAAAGCTAACCTCGTATTTTTTGAATACTTAAATCTTTCTATTTCATATTTATATTTTTATACTTTTCCTTTCCCAATGTTTTATTAAAGATGTGCTTATGCTGTGAGAATGGCATGCATTTTTGTACATAATGTTAAAATGGGAAAAAAACTGCCTGAATAAAAGATGACTGCCAAAAAGTTTTATTTTACATTTGTCGAAAACAGTCGGTCACCTTGGCTTTACAAAAGTTATCCACCACAAACTTATCAAAAACTAGAGGCTACAGGTCAATAGATACGTGTGCACAGTTTTAAAAAAATACAAAGCTTTCCACTGGGACAGACAAATCAAAGACAGAAACCTGTAATGTCCAGAATTTTAATAATTACTTATTTACCCAAAAAAGTCAGAGGCTGAATACTTCTTCAGATGGGTCCTGTTATATTGGGAAGTTTGGCCAACACGAATGACACTGTTTAGCAATGGGTGGAAATCCACGCAACAGGATTATAATATGTACTCTTTGGTTCTTTCGGTAAAGTCACATAGGAATAAAATAAATCACGACGTTTCGGGTGCAAAACAAGCATCTGTCATCAGGTGGGAAAGCATGGTCTGCTGTTTAGGCAGACTGTTTTAAAAGGTTTGAAATGGGTGTAGCCCAAGGGTCAAAGAAGTGGCCAGGGCTCGTGATGTTAATGTGAGAAATTAGCATGTAACTGTAAGATAGGAGGATAGCGGCCTCCTCGACGAGGGAGTGCAACCCAACGGGTGCAATCCAAAGGACATGTGAGCATGAGAGTGCATTGCAAAGGACATGTGAGGATGAGAGGCATAGAGAGAGACCCAGAGAGTCGGAAATAACAGCTGACATAGGCAGGTAGGATGGAAACATCAGTCAGTTAAGACTTTACCCAATTAATATTTTAATGTCAGCTGTTATTTCCGACTGTCTCTCTATGCCTCTCTCTTAGATGTCTCATGCTCACGTCCTTTGGATTGCACCCATTGAGTTGCACTCCCTCGTCGAGGAGGCTGCTCTCCTATCTTAGTTACATGCTAATTTCTCACATTAATATCACTAGCCCCGGCCACTTTATGACCCTTGGGCTACACCCATTTCAAACCTTTTAAAACAGTATCTCAACAGCAGACCATGCTTTCCCACCTGATGACGGACGCTTGTGTTGCGCCCGAAACGTGATTTATTTTATTTTATACCTACGTGTCTTTACCGAAAGAACCAAAGAGTATGGATTCCTGCAGTCACGAAAGCTTCAAATCAAGAAAGGATTAGAATATACAAACTAAACACAGAGAGGCCCGAGTCGGTAATCGAACTCGGGTCCTTCATGAATGAGGTACAAGTGTACACTGCAATGGAAATGAAATGCCCAAGGCTATAACGGGAAAACAATGGGTATAGCTTTTCCAATGTCCCTATTATAGTCTATGGGCATTACTTTTTTTCTGATTAATTTAAGTCCGTCCCCTTTTCACACCGTGAACAAAAACACCGTGAGACGCAACCACGGTCTCCTGCTCAAGTGAGCTCATCCACTAAGCGACACATTAGCGCATCCTTGTCGCTCATGGCACCATTTGCCTCTTTGCCTGCATTCGGCGTGGGCCCTGTCTGGCCCAGCTGGCCTGGCCCGGGGTGGCTCGGTGAGCAGGGCGTCACCTCCATTGGTTCCTCGCTCGGCTCCACCTTCACGCTCGTCGTACACGTAGCCTCTCCTCCCCCTGTCCCCGCCGTTGCTGCCATCTCCCCAGCGCTGCCGGTCCCCTCTCCACCACCGCCCAACGCTGCTAGGCAACCGGAGAGCAGGTCGTGCACGGCGTCAAGCTGGCGTGAGAATCGTTGCGCTGTGTCGAGCCGCGTGCGGCGCTGCACCTCAAGCAGGACCCGCAGCGTCTCGCGCGCCTGATGCGGCCGGAACTCGTTGATGAGGTGGTGCATGTGCACGAAGAGCAGCTTCAGGTCCTCCAGTTTCTCGTCGCGCCGCACGCTGCTTGGCCCGCGCACCAGCACGTCCAGGAGGTCCAGGAAGTTGACGAGGATGGACACGTTAAGTTTCTTGAGCTCGCGCTTGTGGTCCACGTCTGGTGGGTAGAGGCGGGCGATGCCCTGGCTCTCCAGCGGGCGGATGATTACGTCGTCGCAGTGGAAGGGGTTTCCGAACATGAGGTAGTGGTCGCGTAGGGGCGGAGGGGGCCGTGGGGCAACGCCGCGCCGCACCGCCTCGTCCGTGTACTCCTTGGCGTAGTGCATCGGCGGCAGAGGCAGCGAGCTCACCTGCCGTGGGGATGTGAGAACAATCACGACGTTTCGATCACAACGCAAGCGATCTTCATCAGGTGTCAAGAACAAATCATGGAGGTAAATACAACAAAAAGATGAAAGACTAGAATTCAACACCTGAAAAAACATTATGTGAAGCACATCCAGTCAGGCCAACAACACAGACACTTCCTGGCGGACCACGAATTTCAGAAGTGTTAAATTTCGTGTTCAACCTTTGGATTGCACATACCAGCAAAGATAGAATGAATAATACGAGGTACACGGTCAGTAGAAATACATATACAAGTCCACCAAGAGGTAAGGAGGGAGGAAAGACGGACAGGGAGGCAGAGAGGGGGGGGGGGATGAACAGAAGCTTAAATAGGAAATACGGTTGGAGGGGGGGGAGGGGCCAGAGCGAGAGCGGCAGCTCAAACACGCACATCTTACACATACAAAACGGCAGCTCAAAAAAGGGCCACCTCTTGTAAATACAAAACGGCAGCTCAAAAAAGGGCACATCTTACACATAATTACAACGGTAACTTCCCCGTAGAAGTCTGATAATAAAGTATTAAAGCTTTCGTGACAATAAAATGATATTGTATTTCTACATACGTGACTTCACCGAAAAAACCAATGAGTAATTTTATGCAGTCACGAAAGCTTTAATACTTTATTGATGTGAGAACAATCTGTTATTTATGGCAGTCAATATCTGCTGGTAGTAGAGCATACTATTTGATAGACCTAGTCTGAGAAACTGTTCAGGTTTGGTCTGTGCGAAGTGGCAACCACCAGACTCGCACCGTGAAATAGTGGGGCCCACAGGCTCGGAAAGAGACGAACAGACAAACATAAACTCATAGACTCACAGAGCGACCCACAGACTCGCACAAACTTACACGACTTGAGTGAAGGCAATTTATAAATACGATCTTATTTGGAGAGACATATGGCAGCGGAGGCGTGTTGTAAACATTTTCACCTGCTGAGACTCGGCCATGGTGACGGCGGCGGTGGTGGGAGGACCGAGCACGGCAAAAAGAAGCGGGGTCCAACCTCACGCGGCCCTTCTCCCGGCGTCTCCCTCTGCCCAGGCCAAGAGGCAGCGATGTCTGCAGTGCGCGGGGGGGGGGGGGTAACGAGCGCAGGGTAACGTCGGGAAACGCTTCCCGACGAGAGATGATGGCAGGGTGCGATCGCGCGGGGTATGTAACGCTGAGTTTGTTACGCGAAGTATGGAGTAATGAGGGAGAGTGGAGGATTAACGAGGGACGGTGGAAAGTAACGTGGAGCCGCACTTCTCCAGGCGTTATCCGTGACCCCGTGACGCCACTTCCTCCTGACCCCGTGACGCCACTTCTTCCTGACCCCGTCACGTGACGGAGTGTAGAGGGTGGCGGGCGAGAGGAGGGGCCCGGAGCCGGACAGAGACTCTCCCCCTCGGACAGCATCGCCACCAGCAGGCGTCGCGACTGTCACAGCGTTGCCATCACTCGCGAGCAAAATAGCCAGCATTGCCACGAGCATCATTCACCGCATCGCCGCCAATAGCTCACACAACCATCACCACCATTCATTCACACAGCAGCATCATCACTGCACGACCAGGATTACAGCATCACCACCACCACCATCATCAAAACAGCATCAATAATAACAGAATCGCCACCATCATCGCAGCATCATCTCCAACCACCATCATTTCACCGATCACTTGGATCGGCCCTGCAAAGCCGAGGAGACGATGTGAGCTCATCAGAGCGAGGTGCGTGTGTGGGTGGTGTTTCAGGGTGCGTGTGTATGTCTTCTGTCTGTGTTTGTCTTGTTGTGACTTGGTGTGTGCGGAGCGGTGGAGCAATGGTTAGCGCACTGAGCTCTGACCCCGGCGACCCGAGTTTTGACGATTATCTGAAACGGTCATGAGCCTCCACTACATCGACTTAGCCTCAAATGTAAACATCGCCAATGGGGAGAGAAAGGCGGTCGTTTGCCGTACCGGCCTGCATAGGTGCTCCCTAACCGAACTTGTCATAGCAATCTGTTAAGGTTGTACGGGGGGGGGATCTTTGGTTCGCGAAGAGCACCTGCCCCAGCGGCGTGTGTGAGCTACACGGGGCATCTTTGTGCGATCCCTCACCGCACGTGACCCGCGTGCGATGGTTGTCAAACGATAGCCGCTAAACCGGTTTCGAAAGTGAGGTCCCAGGAGTATTCGTTTCCAGTGGAATATTCGGAATGAATGCAATCATTGGCACCCGCGGACCTGCAAACGGCACCGCGCCCCAATTCATCGCTTGGTACATTTGCCTTCGTTTTCTCAGTTGAAAAGTATGCGTGTGTTGCTACACATTTATTTGTGCGGAAAACAGTTAACCGGTCTGTTTTTACAGTTGTAAAAGGTTCTTGCGATGCATGTAACAATAACAGCCCCAGTTCCCGTGTTTCTACGTGGAGGTCGCGCCGGTGATGACGGGGAGGTCGGAGGCCCTGACAGCCGGGCTGGCGCGCCTGGTGGGGCTCACCACGGGGCTACCAGACACCAGCCCGGCCTTCCCGCGCCTCCTGTGCAAAGTCCAGGCCCGACTCGGGTAAGGGGACCAAGGACCCTGGGTCAGGGTCAAGAGGTCATCACGGTCGCACATCGCCACCGCTGCAATTAATTCAGCCAGGTTGTGATGTCCATTCCTTCACCCATGTAGACGACTACTGGACTGCATGACTAGTTTGTTTCACCGACACTGTTCAACCACCACTGAAAATGTGTTCGCACCTGGCACACCAGTATGTCTCTTGCTCTGGCTGTGTGGCTTTGCAGTGGGGAGCTGGAGCTGGACCCAGATGAGCGACGACTGCAGGCTGCTGTGGACAGGTGAGCGCTGCCGCATTCGACTGGGCCCAGCAAGTCCAACCCTTTCACACAGATGGGGGTTGTGATGCGGCCCAGCGCTGGCACGTTCACCGCTTGATGCAGAGGTTCGCAGTTATAATCCGGCGGGCTACCCTGGGAATGATTGCGGGTGGGTGTATCATGTGCGTGTATATGTGGGAATATTAACCTGATAAAACTCCACGTGTGCTTCAGAGTGAACGCGATAGATCATGTGATGTCATTCGAAGAAGAGTCCATTATTTGTTGGCTTCACGGTCCATATTTGCCGAATTCTCAAACTTACTCTGCAAATTACTTCAGGGGCCGTCCATAAATGACGTCACGCACCGAGGGGGATCAGACATTTGTGACAATGTGTGACGAGGTGGGGAGGGAGAGTTTTAGAAATGTGACGTCACATAAAAATGCGCAACTTTAAATAAATATTAATTAAATAGAATTGTTATAACAACACTAATTTTTATTAATTTTCTTGATTAACTATTTGATTTTTTAATTGACTAATGTCACCTTTTATTTATTCCATGAAGGAGCATTTTGCTTCTCCATGGGAGAATGGAAAAGCATAAATTTTGTACATTTTTTGAATGATTGTTATTAAACATTTTGATTATAATGATTCTACCAGGGCTTTTCATTCTGTACTCTCCATTTTGCTTCGTCCTACTGCAAAGTTTCAAGTATTTTTTTATAGTTACAATTACTTTTAATATGTTATAAGAGAATTTCAATATAATATCCTGAACATCTTCAGTTTTAGTTAGACGTTGAATATTTAGAAGTGAATTTTATGCTAAATTTAAGCTTTCCAACGCTTTTTAAATACATGTTTTCTCCTACAACATCAGAGTGCAGCGCCACATTAAATACGCACTACAATGACAATAGTTTAAAGTGATTTGAAGCATGTTTTATTTTCAAAATGGAAATGTTTTTTTTGGGGGGGGGGCGGGGCAGAGCTTTGTGACGTCATATTTCAGGGAGGTCTGACTTTTTGTGACGAGGGGGGCAGGGGGGGGGTCAAAAATCGGCCAAAATCGCGGGACGTCATTTATGGATGGCCCCTAATTGGAAAACACAGCAACATCGTTCCCTACTGCAAGAACTTGGCAGCATACTCTTTGGTTCTATTGGGTAAAGTCACGTAGGTGAAAGTAAAATAACAAAAAATCACGACGTTTCTACCACAACACAAGCGGCCTTCATCAGGTGAAGGGACGAGACTGTCTGGAGGACAGCGCTGTCCTCCAGACAGATCCTAGAAGTCACGAAAGCTTTAGATCTAGAACTTGGCAGCACTCTTATGAAAAAAAATATTGTGAGGCTTTCCTTGGTAAACAAGTGTAATAGATCAGATGTTCCACACCGGTGAGGTTAGTGCAGCAGGGTGTCGCAGCAGTAACACTCGTGCATCACAGCAATAATTATCTGGGTTCGATTCCCAACTTTGTCACCTGTGTGGCATTTGTATGTGCTCCCCTATTCTGTCGAGTGAGTGTTGTGGGAGTGTGTGTATCAGTGTATGAGTGGAATTTGTATTTTCTCCCCTTGTGCATGGGTTTCCTCCGGGTTCTTCAGTTTCCTGACATGGCTAAAAGCATACGTCGTTGATGTTGGGCAAACATCCTAACGCCAGATGCCCTGTTGATAAGTCTTGAGACTTGGTGTGGCTCTCCTGGGTGAATGGGCGATGATTGATCTCACGGAGTGCTAATCACGCTGGCCCTACCCTGCAGAGTGCACGAGGCATTCGTCACTCTCTCGGAGCCGGACAAAGCTGCCGCCTGGAGATCCCAGATTGCGAGAATCTGCCAGGACACCGTCCCCACGTTTCCCAGGGCAAGATACGCCACTGAGCACGCGTGCGCGGACACACACACCACAAACCCAATATCACACTTCACACGTAGGTTTGAACAGCCATATGATGATTCATGATTTACATTTGGGGGAGGCAACATGATAGTAATCTGGCCAATTTTTTTTATCTCGAAACCCTCCATCACTCAGCAGAGCCTAACAATTGTCATGCGTACCAGCGTTTAGTGATGCCTCAATTGTTATTATTTCAGCATTGAGTTGCAGAATTCTCACAGCCACAAATTACATACGTGATGTTTTGCTTGAAACTGCGTCTTTCGTCCTCAAGTTAAATAGTAACCAATACATGGATACTGTAGTAATTTTCAGAATCAATTGGTGATTATGAAAGCCAGGGACTGGTAATTTATTCCAGAGGGATTTTAGTAATAAATGCACTGATTGGTACGTGCAAACGTTCAAACAGCATGGCAGCAGGCAGGCCTAAGTCACTGCTTGGTACATTTGATCTGGCTTCTCATGTCGTGTCCTGTTGCCGTGATCTTGCTGGGACCACAGGGTCGGTTATTAAACTTAGCAGCTTGTTACTCTGCATTGTGTTCTGCTCCCACTTGCCCACCACACTGCGCACAAAGATCCAGGAGCCGGGCGTTGAAATGCAGTGACTCCCTTTTGCCTACGACCCCATTTGATGAGAGACGGCACGCCTCGCTCAGCTCCTTAACATAAGCAGGGGCACAAATTTCGCAAATAGATGCTAATTCAACTTTACTAAATTCAGGTTATGACGAAGGATCACTTTGATTGAAATTTGAATCTCGGAGCTCCGCGTGAGCATGCCTCAACGCTCAGCGCCCCACGTGGCTCTGAGCCGGAGGTCATGCCCGCGTGGGCGTGTCGACCAGAAGTGGCAGGACCTCACAGGCAGTACACATGCACAGCTGTCACACGCACACCCTCGACTCAACTCTCCCCTGTGCTGCTCGCGGCAGGTGGAAGTGCGCTGTGCGATGGTGTCGCTGCTCGTTGCCCTGGCTGCTCCCGCGGGCTGCCCCAGTCACCTCCTGCCTGCATCCGCCCTGCCTGCCTCCACTTCGCTCCTAGGTATCATAAAACCCTGGCTTGCCATTCTAATAGGGCAGGTGGGAATCCCCCAAGGTAGAACTATCTGGCTTCTAATGAGCACCAATGAAGCCTTACATCAGTGAATTACCTAGAAAACTTGATTTGTAAATTGAACATGAATACACCCAGCCAGGTGGGCCAGCGGCAGAGTGAGCAACTAGCAATCCGAAGGTTGTTAGTTCATATCCTGTTTAGGGGGATGACTTGGCTCATCATTCTTCCCTCCGGGTTTATTAAAGAAGTACAACTATGTGTAGAAATCAGCAGTACTATGAGAAAGACTCACCTCCGACGTCGGAATGTGGAATTTACACCACTAGCTCCGCAGGGCTGTCAAAAGGAGATGGATACCAATGCCTCTGCTCATTTGAGCAGCACGAAATCACTTTATAATGCTGCGTTATTTCGAGACCATCTGGTTGTGTAAGCTCCTGGCTTTCAGCAGCAAATCAGGCTGAGGGTTTCCACCTATTCCACATAGCAAAGCAGACATTTCTAGTCAGCCAAGGTCTATCAAAACTTGCAGTATACTGTCCTAAAGTTCAACATAATAC